TTGTAAAAGATCACGTGAAATTCACGAGAAAAATTTTCACGCCAGATTCATGTGAATCTCAATTCACATAAAATTCACATTAAAATGTTCATGTGAGTTTCATGTATAAGCTCGTGTGAGGTGAATTTCACGTGAGCAATATTTGCCTGTGTAGATAAAGTGCATTTTACATTAAAACGTGTGGTTTTGATTTCCTCATTGATATCATCTTACTGCAATAATTAAATACATCTTTGTTGGAAAGTCAATATTTAACAAAGCAGATATAACTTTTCAAATTTAAACGACTGAAGCCTCAATTGAGTTTTGCATAAAGCATGGTTTCAATGCCCGTGATATTCAAATATCTAAAAAGCTTTTACAACAGTGATATTGATAAAATAAATTGTTCAACCCTTTTCCTTTACATCTTTAGTTTATTGTGGAAATGTCATTCCGCCTGAAATATTGTAATATCATCTATAAAATTTATCAAGTTTTCTTTAAATCTTTCTTCTTTTTGGCTTTTCAGACTTTTCATACTGTTATATTTAATCATAGCGTCTGGTATTTTTATCGGGTGATCATCGAATCGCGAAGTCATCTTTTGATAATGACGGACTAACACCTTTCTTCTGTGTTTCTGCATTCAAATTATGTTCATGTTTGTTTTGAGTTTTGCGCAAGACCGCGTATAAATGCGCTGATTTTGATGTTTATGTCGAACTTCTACTCTGAAGTACAACAATCGATTTTAGAGTTTCAAACGAAATTATTTTATATCTACATGCTTTAGTATCCAGTAACGTCGAGTATACTATAATACAATAATTTATCCATGCATACACTCATGTGGATTCCCCAAGACAGTAACTTCATATGTCACTGTCTTTATTTTTAATTTGACACTTAGGGTATTTTGGTGTTGATGGAGTTAAATTATCTTTTGTTAAAAATTTTTGGGCTCGATGGGATCAACTTCTTTTTTTTATGGCAACTTCCTGCTTTTAAAGACCGTATACTAACCCCTAGATGTCTTTTGGATTTTGTGTCGTTTAATTTATGTCATATTGTGTAACCAATTTTTTCTTTGATTTATGATAACAGGTGAATGATGTTGATTGTGTGATTTAAAAGCATTTAAATAAACAGGTATTCAATGTCATGTCAATCTATGATGTTCTTGACCTAAATGAACACCTTTTTCCTCCTTTATAAAGCGGTACAAAAGAAAAAAAATACGTTTACAAATTATATACATAATAAGGATGTTTGTTAACCTCATTAGCTTGGAATACCGCAGTACATTTAAAACATGACATTGATGACTAATAAGTATTTTTTCAAAATATTTTAATTTGTAACTTATGTTTGCAATTAGTATTAAACTCACATAATAAAACATATACCCTTGGGCACTTAACAGTTTGGGTAAACCAAGAAAATCACCTAAGACGAAAGAAATTATAAGCTCTTATTTTCATTTACTAGCATTGGGTTGATACCCCTGCTTTGGACTGATAGTCCCCGATGTACCATCAGCTCAGTAGTCGCTTCTTTGGTACTGATATGCTCTTTAAAATACTTTTCTAAAATTACCAGCTAATAAATTTAGAAATTATTAAGAATCAAAAGTTTCAACTCTTTCAAAGTTGAACTTAGATATTTATCTATTCGGTGTAGAAGAGAGGTGTAAGATACCAAAGGGACATTCAAACTCATAAGTCGAAAATGAACTGAAAAACCATGGCTAAAAAAAGAAAAGGACCCACAGACAAAACAGTACACAAAACACAACATAGAAAACTAATGACTGAGCAACAGGAACCCCACAAAAAACTGGGAGTGATATCAGCTGCTCCGGAAGGGTAAGCAGATCCTGCTCCATATGTGGCACCCGTTGTGTTGCTCATGTTAGTACAAACCCGGTAATAAGTTCAATTCGGTAGGTCACATTCGGTATTGTAGTTTCGACAATTGGAACATATCCGCTGTCATCTGTGAAACGGATATTCCATGACGGTAAACCAACTCGTGATGGCGTCCGTAAAATTTACGAAGTGATGATTTCAACTTGGAACTCTTGTTTTAATAGCTTCCTTGTGAGCAGCAAACCTCTATCAAGGAAATGATGATAGGAAATACAAGCCCTGGAATATCGTATCAACTGGGAGATATATACTCCGTATGCATGCGCTGCTGGAATGCTGCTACATAAAAATGGAAAGTTCACAATTAGGAAGCTGAAATCATCCCTTTTGTCGTAAAGTTTTGTTTTCAACCGACCCTCATTGTCAATTTCTAGATGTAAGTCAAGACATGAAGCAAACTTAACTGTATCTGCTGTATCCTTTATCTCAAGTTCGATGGGATAGATGCGTTCAACATAGTATCCAAATTTTGAATTAGTTAGTGAGAGAACATCATCTATATAGCGGAAAGTAAAGTTAAAGGATGCTGCTAACTTCTTTTCTTTCTTCCCAAGAAGTTCTTGTATGAAGTCTGGTCACTCTTGGGTCTATATATCCAAACATTTTGATTTTTTATACATCCCTGGCTTCAACATGTTTACGTTTTAGCGTTCCTGATTAAGGCAAATCACCAAAATCATGAAAAAAAGAACAAGCTTATACAAAAATATATAAACATATAATCAAAAAAAGAGAGATGTAGGGTATTCGTCTATGAAACAGCAACCAAACAGCACAATAACAATAGACACTTGTTTATACATTATGTAGAATTCTAGATCGTGAATTGAATACCTCAAACTAATTCCTGCTTCAAGCAATTGTAATTGTAATAAGTTTATTGCTATCAGCATATAAGAAAATGCTATAGCTCCAATAACATATATAATATAGTAAGCGACAAATATAAATGAAAACAGAAAAAAAATTAATTCAAATTACACCTTACAAACTACTTTATCAATTGTGACCATAGTTTACAGTTTTTATTTAACAAACAACAAAGTTTAAGCACAAAAGTTCTTGGACAAATTTAAATAAGTGATCGAAATTTTGACATATTAGGCCAAGAACAAAAATATTTAGGCAAAAATCTTAGACGCAAATGTCTATAGGCTGGACAAATCATTACACAATGATATTCATTTTCAATGGTTTTCATATTGCAACATTGACATAAGCAATAAACATTTCTACCATCTTCAATTATTTGAAAGTGTGAGTAAAGAAATTTTATTACTTTTTATGCCGAAGCAAAACATCTATAGTCCATCTAATTGTATCCAGGTAATATATATAGATAAGTAAATAAATATATATAAATTTACATCACAAGGAAAATGTATTGTAGAATAGTTTTTAATAGTCGATATAATATTTAATAATGTTCCCATACTTATTTTTTTATGATTCGAAAGTGGTAATTTAAGTTGATGCGACCCACCCTTTTCCCACCAACTTTTTTCTTATTGTGATGTGATATATCAAAGATAAAATCAACAAGACATGTATGTATGCTTAATGTACCTGTAATAAAGACATTGCAAATATTTCTGAATTTACAGTATTATATATGTAGGACTCTAAAGTGCGAAGGTACTCTAAAGTGCGATGGCCACGCTAAAGTGCGATGACCACGCTAAAGTGCGATGGTTGTTTGTTTTTTTTAAGTGCGATCAGATGACATGCTAAAGTGCGATGGTACATGACACGCTAAAGTGCGTTGGTTTAACACGCTTTTAAAAGTGCGATGGTGTACAGTTCAGGCAATGGTTTTTGTTTTTTGCTGTGTTCATATTAGTTTTTCGTCAATTGTATTGTTTATAAATCATGCTGTTGTCTTTCTCTTTTGAATTGTTTTACATTAGTCATTTTGTGGTCCTATATAGCTACTATGCGACGTAAGCTAAGGCTCCACGTTGAAGTTCATAATGTTGCTAAGTGCATATGGTCTTTGGTGGATACATAATGTTGCTAAGTGCATATGGTCTTTGGTGGATAGTTGTTTCGTTGACAATTACACTACATCTTCTTATTTGTTTTTTGTTTTTGTTTATTGTTTTCCATCTCTTTCACAGACATGACGAACCATATTGTAAACCATTGTTTTATAAAATAATTCAGTTAAAAAGTAGCTTTTATTTCACGCAAGTAAATGACATGGGATTAAAAACATAGAAGGAGTTTCTAAATTAAATTTGGACGAATTAAATACTTTGACCATAGGTGTATTTAACCGTTTCCATTCTCTATTACGGTATACACCTTTTCCTTACTATCGTCAGTTTCTATGTTTATGAGAGGTATTCTTTTCTAGTATCCTGTCAGAAACACGTTCGTCCCCGCCGACACAGCGGGATCAAAGGTTTGCATTTACTGTCGATGATATTTTGGGAAATAATTCCTCCGCGTACAAACTCTTCTAGCACCGACCAAAATTGGAATCATTTGTTTCTCTTTTTGTCTCTAGTAAAAAACCTTCATCTGCAAAAACATTCTCGTTTACCGGCATGTCCATTTTTGTTTGTACAAACGGCGTGTAGCGTCATAATGCTATTTATGGTTGCAAACGTCCATTCTTTCGCGGAAAACGTATTTTGGCGTATCGCAGCATCGGACTTTAGCGTGTTCCATTAAATATCAAATACCATCGCACTTTAGCGTATCAAACCATCGCACTTTAGCGTAGGTCATCGCACTTTGGCGTGTCCATCGCGTTTTAGTGTCCCCATCGCACTTTAGAGTCCTACATATATTTATATTTAATAGGATAAAAATATTTTGTTTGTACCCATGTTCCCATGTTGTTGTTTTTTTTAAATTTTTTAAATTCCCCAGCAAATACATTATTTAAATCAAAGTAATGAAGACGTCATTATCATATCAATCAACTTAATTGTTTAAATTATTGGTAACTATTTAACAACCATTGAAAATAAATGTTAAAACTAGAAAATGTTAATGCAATGAACATTTTTAATATTATTAATAATGATATGGATTTTGTGATAATTTTACACCGCTTAAGAATTATTAAGAGTATTAACTCACCTTGGATGTCCGCTTTATAATGTAAAGGATCATAAAATATGATCCAAAATTTAAAATGTGTTATTAACTTATTTTTAGAATGTTTAAATGTGCATTGGACCGAAATACTGCGTTAAATAGGGGTATATTTACGTTACATTTCAAATTTGCTGTTCAAAACAGTAATATGATATATTTCCGGCTATATAAAAAATGTGTCAAACTTGTAATAAAAATTTAAATATCATAGGGGGAAAACCAAAGTTTTGCTTTGTTATTAATACAAGATTTATATTGCACTTGGAAAGTGGTTGTGCTATTTTACTTACTAATTTGCAATTTGAAAATAGGTCTTGAATAAATGTTTTTAACTTCCTTTTCCAATAGTAATTCACAATTCAAAAAACTATAAAACATCATTCATACATCTTATTAAACCCAAAAATATTACAAATATAAGCTATATCAATTCTGTAAACCATCTAATTTTACGCGAGCATTTTATTTTCGTGACTTACGGCAACATAAATTGTCGAATATGTCAAACTTGGACAATTTCTAATATAATTATGTGAACAATGAAAGATAAAACCCATCGAAAATAAATCGTTACGACGTAGGTTAGACAGATCCAAATGAGGACAAAGTATCCGTTAAATTAGTTTAACAGTAAAAATGTATAACAAAAATACCGAACTCTAAGGTAAGTTAAAGTTTGGGGAAGTCCATAACAACTGACAAAATCAAATGTTGTGAACCACCGGAACGAGCAAAAAAACAACTGTCATATTCCTGACTTTCCAAAGAAAATGATGGGTTAAAACCGATTTGAAAATTCGGATACCGACAGCGTTCGTATCTTAAAAAAATTTACACTTTTCCTGTTTGTTTTAAACTTCTGTCACAGTATGCTATTTAAATTCTGTTTTCAGTTTTACATGTACATCTTTTAGACGTTTGTGTTTTGTTTTGGCTTTGCATTCTGCCCATGCACTTAGATGATGTCTGTACTTTCTCTTCTGTCCTCGATCTGCAAACTGCCATCCGTCAATATGCAGACGTAGATCGCCCTTATTAATTAATTTTTGGTGATTATTTCAATTAGTTGGTTCTGTATGCCTGCATACGGACGTGATAAAATTGAACCAGAAGTTTTAGATATACAATGGCATTTTTTAGGTCTATATGTCTGCATTCCGACCTGGTGTATGGTAAACCTACTTTTGTTATATAATGACATTCCTCAGGCAGGGATGTATGCATCCTTTTTCTTTGATATAGATAGTGGCATTTCCAAGGTCTGTATGACTTTATTCCAACTTAGTTGATGGTTTTTTAATATATATTTGCATTATTCGGGGATGTATGTGTGCAGACCGACCGGGTTAATGCTGAACTTTAATTATTTATAATTAAGTGGTATTTCCCTTGTTGTACGTAATTTAAACAAATAATTTTATGCACTAGTATTTTTGTATCGAAATCCAGTCTAAAAATCGACGTATGTTCATCAAATCTGAGAAAAGACTGATAACGATGATAATAAAGAAAGACGATCAATTCTTGGTTCATTCTAATTAAAGTACTTTTTGCTTTCTCAAATCGATGTCCAATTATATGTTCCAAATGTCGTAACTACAATCCCGTTCCCTTTTCCCAAATGTGACCTACTGAATTAGACTTATTACCGGGTTTGTACTAACATGAGCAACATGACGGGTGCCACATGTGGAGCAGGATCTGCTTACCCTTCTGGAGCACCTGAGATCACCCCCAGTTTTAGTGGGGTTCGTGTTACTCAGTCTTTAGTTTTCTATATTGTGTTTTGTATACTATTGTTTTTCTGTTGGTCTTTTTCTTTTTTAGCCATGACGTTGTCAGTTTATTTTCGACTTATGAGTTTGAATGTCCCTTTGGTATCTTTCGCACCTCTTTTATGTCCCTTTTTTATACTTGCTGAAGTGACGTCATTTATGGTTTCAGCAATGGAAAAATTCAATTCTACATATAGTTCTTATGACAGATATAGCTTGGACAGAAAAAGGTGAAAAAGGGTAATCAAAAACCCAAATCCAAATATTTTAGGGTTCAAATATACTTTTATTTTGTTATACCCAATGAGCACAGACCTTTTCGTTATAACTAGTGAGGGTATATAATTCACGACATCACTTGCAAATCTTTGTTCTCTTTGTTCTTTTTTGAAAAAGTTGCATTTAGCATTGTAAACTTTCGTATATTAGGTAAACAAGAGCTTGCTACAATAAAGATGTTACAATCTATTTGTCTTTACAACTGAACATTTTTATCAAGCTGTAACCCTTAATACAGATGTTAAGTAAATGTAGTATAAAACAAGAGTACAATTTTTGGGAAATCGGGTATAGATATTTGTTCTATTTTTTAATCGCCAGCTTACTAATACTAAGGGTTGCCTGCTCGGTTGTATTTTTGGTGTATAGATGCTCATTTTTTCCTTGTAGGACTGAGAGTTTGCAGGATAAAGAATATTTTCTAAAAATCTATTGGGAATACGAATGTGACCTGTTGCAAGCGCAAATTGGACCTTCTCTATATCCCCCTTTTCCCCCTAGTTTCCGTGTTTCAAATTCCCGCCATTCATTCAAGTTGACATATTTTGCAGAACCCCGGATAATTTGTCTATAATCTAAATTATTGTCTTCAACAATATGTATGTTGCGTTTGCATAATGTGATTGAGCAAAACATAAACCCAAAAAAACCTACACACATCGAGCTGAATATTACAAATAAGTGGTGGAACAACATAAAAAAGCACATAACATAAACATATTATATACATATAGTCTGAAAATAAATTTACAAAGTGGCAGCAAAATTCGTCCCAAAAAAAAAGGGTAAGAATGTATGAGTGGCCATTCGTGTCATTGGCGGTATAAACATACTGCATAAAAATTTCAACGCGTTGGTTTTCACTTTTAACGCGTTAGTTTTCTCTTTTAATCCCGCTATTCCGACATCCCATTGGTCCGCCATCCCATTAGTCCGACATCTCAATAGTCCGATACCCCCATTTGTCCGACACACCAATAGTCCGACACATGTGCAGTTCGTAATTTAAAAATCTAATTTGTAGAATCGGTTGACGTGATATGTGAACGTGGGTCTACTCTCCCTTCAGAGTATAAAGAACTAAATTGAAAAGATAGCACTTACCGTCTGGTATGTAAGAAATACCATGATCTTAAAAAAAATAAGGCAATCTTCAATCTAGCAACATTTTGCCTTACTACTACAAAGTGTAACCTAGATGTTTCATAAAAAAAAACACTCCACTAAAAAGTGAATTTGATTGATTGCTGTTTGCTTAACGTCCAGAGGAAATAATTCATGCATGTTCAGGACGAGAACTAAATTAACAAATAATATGATAAGTAAGTCCTGAAATAGGATATCGCTCATATTAAAGCGTAGAAAATTTTGACTGCCACTGTAAAATGAGGATATATTGGACAGAATTCTGACCGGACGTGACTGCGTATTTATACAACCCGCACAGCCAAACGGGCGCTCAACTTTGGCAAGGGTTTTACGGTCGGTCGATAAAAAGACCAAAAGTGAACATATTTCTATACCATATCACAGTCACACTTTGGTTGAAGATAATTTGAAGAACAGTCTCTCGTCGTAAAAGAAAATGTCCAGAGTTGATTTCTATAAATATCTATACTGAACTTAAATTTAAGATCGAAAACTTAAACAAAATGAAAGTCAAAATATCTATAGTAAAATTGTACAATCGAGAATATTTGGTTTTATTAAGATTGTTAAACTAAGTTAAAACGAATGACATTTGCAACGGAACGTTAGGCAAACAAAAAAATATCAATCATGTAAGAATGGCTTAGGGTGTACTCTGAAAGCAGTGATTTATATATATATATTTTTTTTTTATTGCATATTCATTAAAATTCAAACTCTTAAAAACAAAATTATACTTTATCGGTGTTCTGATCTTTCCACCGAAATAATTAATCGTGTATCGGTCATGAACAGCATAAGTAAACACGATGTGTGAAAATAATTCTGTTACAACACACTATGACAATGACACAGGAATAAAATGAACGTTTGTACACGAATAGAAAAATAACATACACAATACTGTTTATGCCTTTTTAACGTGCTAGGAATAACGGGTATATTATTCACCAGGCTTTGCTCTTGCTTGGCATAGAAGTAGCAAATACAAAAGTCGTTTATTTGAACCGATCGAAGATCGACCTGACGTCCTCCTGTACTATGCGAGACGAGGAAGACACCACTGATGGGAAAGTATACGAAAATAATCTGGACTTGAGTTCTTGACCGAAAATCCAAATAAATAGGACAAAGAAGCCAGAGAAACCCTAAACAGAGTCATGTATGTCTCCTATTTAGGCAATGTACCCTCATTTTTCAGCGGCATTCCAAATTCCCAGTCCTTTATCCCGGCCAACTCCTATTTGAGGACCGATAATTGTATTTGTTGTTAATTAGTTCTCATCCTGAACATGAATTATTTGCCACTGGACGTAAAACAAACAAAAATCAATCAATATTAGTTCTTTCTTCAAATTCTCTGCTCCGCCTTCATACATATGAGGAGTATTGGCATATTCCTGTGATAAAACAGCTACAATAGAAAGACATAGTGGTTGGACCGTTAGGATCTGAATTGTTTCATAGCAGAAAACCATACTGGTTTTATACAAATCTCCAATAACCTTATGATCTTATTGTTTGTCATGTTGAGGAAAATTATAAAATTATTTATATGATAACCCAATTGTATTGTTATTTCTCCACTTTTTTCTATACTAACCAGAACATATTTTGTAAACTGTAAACTCATATAGTCAATAGATTCGTCTAGTATTACCTGGAAGGGAGATAATCATTGAACCAGTTTACTCACTGTTTGAAAAAGAGCAAAATTACGACAGAATACTTCAAGACAAGTTTTCTGCCATAATTTTATTCTTTTTTTATTAGTATATAGACAAACTAGACTGCATGGTGCTCTTCTGCAAATAATTGAATTGCTGTTACATTTTAGAGAAAAAATGTAAAATCAGAAGTTTTAATTGAGTTAACCGTTATTACTTTTTATCGCTTGAGTTATACTAGAAAAAACGTGTCCATCATGTTCACTCAAGCCATATTCACATATATAATAGTGTAAAAAGCAAAGCTTCATTGGTTCCTATATTTTCTTACTGCGTCCCCTTTAACCTGTATCTGAGTCTACAGTATATCTATTTTCATAACGACTTCCGAGTTGAAATGCATGTTCTGATGTAAGTATTTTTTTTTTACAGATTTATATATAATAAAGGAACACAAATTACAAACATTTTAACATTGCATTAAAGTTTTATATATATAATTCTGCACAGACATTATGTATAATATATAAACATATTCTTTCAGCGTACAATTGAAATGAGAATCAGTGTGGTAGAAATTTGTAAGAAAGATTTTGATTAGTTGACACAAGTGTAGAACTTACGGCTATACCGTTGAAAGTGAAAACTAACGGTATAGTTTGCAAAACTAACGTGTTGATTTTTCATACCGTATGAATTACGAATTAACGCGTTAGTTTTTACAATCAACGCACTAAAAGTGATAATCAACTCGTCAAAAGTGAAATAAACGCTTTTAAAGAGAAAACCAACGCGTTGAAAGTTTTATACCGTATGTTTATACCGCCAATGACACTCATAAGAATGACGAGCAAAATCTTGTCTAATAATGAAATAACATCACATCTAAAAATCATTACTCACATAATACTTTATATGTATAGTGAAGAAAAATATGATATTAATCTTTACAATAGAATAGATTAAATCCAGGCAAGTGCAGAATGTAATTTACTTACTGTAGAATAAGTTTTTTTTCTCTTTGTTTTGTACATAATTATATCAGAGAAATGATATTGCAATTCAAGATAACTGATACTAGTTATTCTTTTATCATTCTGATTAATAATTGAGTAATAGACATTTGCGGAAACTAGGTCTATACCTAGGATTACACTTAGACTTACGATTACAATTGACGAAAAACAAGGGGTCCTCTCAAAATAAAAAAATAAACCCAATTGAGATACATAGTAAAATGAAATTATATTTTTTTATCATGTAAATAGGTCTTTTCGACGACACACAAATGCAGAAACTTATGGTCACAACAGATGTGAATCTCCACAAAGTCCCCATAACTTTGTGTTTTTTTTTTAAATTCTCCGAATGCGTGTTCAACCTCTACTCTATAGTGTGTAATATGTCTATTTAATTTTCTACACTTCCTCTGCATATTCTGGGGCTTGTCTCATGTAAGGTGTCAATACTGGATATCTGTTCGGATATATTTTGTCGCCTAGCAAAAACAGCTCAGTCGGGAAAGGTAATTCTTGTCCTATATTTCTTATCAACATATATTGCTGATGCCAAAGAAATCCGCACTCAACATAACATTTCCTGTCTTCGTTCAATATTACAACTAGAGTGTGAATTCAGTCACAATGTCTGTGTCCTGGGAAATACTATTCTTGTAGTTCCATTATCGGCCACAAGCTTTCCGTCGATAGCCCTACTGCATATCGAAGTGGAAGTTTTGGCCACTCACCTTGAAAGTTCTGCCAATCATCGAAAGAAGGCCAATAGATAAGACGGTTATATGTTTCTTGAAATAGGTATACATGTATGTGTTTCATCTTTGGTAGTCGAAACACTAAGGTCAACTATTTCAGAAATCCTATGATAAGACGGGTACGATTGGGAGTCGTACATCTTTTATACGATTACAGTTTTGTATCCGCAAACGTTTAAATCTTGCCAAATATCGTAAACGGTATTTTTCTACTGTTTTTTTACGTTAATGATACATGTAGTAAATATTGCGTAGGCGATTTTTTTTAAATATCAGCTTACAATTTATTCCTAATGAAATATAAAAATATCTCGTTATAAATGATGTGTCATGTGTTTGATTACGATTCGGATCCAATTTATATTCGTGTGCATTCAAATATCTTTACAAGCAAAGAGCATTTAAGCCAAGAATGATGTAATATAGTTTTATTTGATAACATATAACTACTTTATTTCTAAAGAAATTAAAAAAAAAATCATCGTTTAAAGAAAATGTTTGACTTGCATTAAATCTACAGGGCCGTAACTAGGTCTCAAAAACAGACGAGGCAGGGGTCTTGGGGCCGCCGACTGAGGCCCCCTAGGTAGTGGGGGCCCAGGGGGGGCCAAGCCCCCCGGCCAAAATTGTAGTATTAGGGTTCGAAATATATCTTGTAACATCCATTTTTGTATCATATTTATCGTTTGTGTTTCATATTTACTGTATGAAGAAATGCGTTAGGCAACCAGAGCCGGCTGATAGATACTTGCCTCGAATTTTGTTCCATCAAAACATATATCCATTTACAGTAGGGTACATGTTTAATAGTAGAAAAAGCGGGACAAGTGTGTGTGGTTAACGCTGCAATAAAAATAACACACATGTTGACAAAATTTAATAAAGACCAAAGAATGGAAGCTAGTCATTGTCTATGAACGCTAGTTCGACCTTTCTTGTGCCACTTAGATCCCATTGTTTGAGAACAGCTTCTGCGTTTACTTGCCCGACATTGTCCGTACGATGGACGTGAAACATGGCCAAACAACATAATCTGTCATCGGTCATACTTGTTCAGAACCTTTTTCGCGGGAAATAGATAATTGCTGAAACAAATGCCGGTTTACTGGCGATAGTAATCAGATAGAGAGTTCGATTAACGTAGTTGAATATTTAAAAGTACACAAGCTTAACGTCAACATTATACACCTTTAGACTGGGTATGAGGGTAATAGCAAGTTTGTTGTCCCTGAGATACCAACTATTGCTCGAGGCGAAGCCGAGGGCAATAGTTAGTTTTAAAGGGACAACAAACTTGCTGTTACCCTCATAACCAGTCATTAAGTGTTTTATTATACCGAAAAAAACAACTTTCTAAAAAGACTACATACACCACTTGAAAAAAAAATGATCACATAGACATGTACAAGATGAACTATCAGGTTTTTTTCCCTGTGTGGTATTTATCAATAATCTATTTACTGTAATCAAGACCAGGAATCCTTGTGTAAAAATTGCCGTGCATATGATCAACATTAGCTAAAATATTTTACCGTACACCAAAGCAATCCCAGATTATGAAGACGACGACAGACCAATACCATACATTACATGTTTTAGTTCTTAAAATATGTCGCGTAGATTTTCTTTTTCAATTGCTTCTGGTAAGTAATATAATTTGAAATTACGACAGATACATACAGATTATAACGTTTACGATATTTCAGAGTTTAACGTTGCCAAGCGCACAAATCCAAGCAGAATAGTCGATGACGTTATTGTTGTCCAATGAAAAATTAATATGAAAAAGTACGGGAAATATGTTTATAAAACTTTTGACCGGGGTAATAGTCTTTGAAACTATTGACTGGCAAATAGTCTGTGGAATGAAATAGCACAAATATTTCATTCTTTTTTATATAGAAAAAACATACTGAGGTATAATAATAATTGTTATTATACCTCAGTATGTTTTTTCTATATAAAAAATAATGAAATAGTTGTGCTATTTCATTCCACAGACTATTTGCCAGTAAATAGTTTCAAAGACTATTACCCCGGTTAATAGTTTCATAATCATCTTTCCCGTACTTTTTCATGCTTATTTTTCATTGGACAATAATGATGTCATTGACTATTTTGCTTGGCAACGTCAAACTCTAATATTGTAAACGGTATAATCTGTTTGTGTCGATTGTAATTTCACTTACAAGAAGCAATTATAAAAGAGAGAAAATCTTTTAAAGATCTAAAATATAGTACCTTATTCATAATATGGGTTCGGTCGTCGTATTCTAAAAGCGAATTTGCGTTTGGTGTACTTTAGCTTAAATTTATCATATGCACGGAAAATTTAACACAAGTATTTCTAGTCTTGATTGCAATTAATAAAATATTTACAAATACAAGAAGAACTATAAAAAAAAAACGTATAGTTCATCTTGTGCATGTCAAGTTATGTGACATTTTTTCTTTTCTTTCAGATGATATATGTACACTTTTAGAAAATTAGTTAATTTGGTATATAAAAACACTTAATGACTGTGTTGTTCAGTATAATAAAACACCTAATGACTGGTTGTGCGGGTAATAGCAAGTTTGTAGTCCCTTCGCATACCAACTATTGCTCTCGGCTTTGCCTCGAGCAATAGTTGGTATCTCAGGGACAACACACTTACTATTACCCTCACACCCAGTCAATAGGTGTATACTATTCGAAGTATGTATTACTTAATTGTTGAATGAAATGAAAATGTAAGGATGTTTTCTTCCCCTGCATGCCCAACCTTTTTCCATTTTCTTTTTTTTTTCTCTTATTATTTTTTTTTTTGGCCAAAAATTTAGACGAGGCCTGCCTCGCCTGCCTCATCGGTAGTTACGGCCCTGATCTAAAATAGGGTTCACAGACATCCGTGTACTTTAAAAGACAACCTGAGTGCTTTAAGAATATCTAAACGAAGTTCTTGAGGGTCTATGCTTAGTTTCTGTTGTTACCTATTCTGACATCGGACTCGGAATTCTTTTGAACTGAGTTTAACTGTGCGTATTGCTATGTGTTTATTTATTCTACATTGGCTAGAGGTATAGAGGGAGGGTTGAGATCTCACAAAACATGTTACACCCCGCCTCATTTTTGCGCCTGTCCAAAGTCAGGAGCCTTTGGCATTTGTTAGTCTTGTATGTTTTTTTTAATTTTAGTTCCTTTATATGTTTTGGAGTTTAGTGTGACGTCCATTTTCACTGAACCAGCACACAATTTTATTTAGGGGCCAGCTGAGGACCACCTCCGGGTGCGGGATTTGCTCGCTGCGTTGAAGACCCATTGGTGGCCTTCGGCTGTTATCTGCTCTTTGGTCTGGTTGTTGTATTTTTGACATATTCCCCATTTCCATTCTCAATTTTATTTGAAATTCTTGATTTAATTTAAAATGTAATTCATGTATATGTTTAATGCAACTTAAGACTCTTATTTTTTTTAAACGAGGAAACGATGCAAAATGGCATTTAGAACCCATAAGTAGAAAAAAAAAAAGACTCCACCATGGTAAAAAAAACCCGACTAAAATACAAACAAAAGTCCACAAAAACTTCACAAAGAAACAAAGAGTTCATTTCTACATGACGATAAAAAAAAATCAACTTATTTTGACGAATCATGGTATATGTTTTCCAGTTTCAATGGTAAAGTTTAAATAATTAAGACCTCTGATAAATAAGGATAATTTGACAAACCACAATATAAATTGAATCAAGTTGTCGCTAACGATAGATGAAAATGAACATTTGGTGCCTGACGGTAAAAGGCATTTCAACCATCTTGAAAGATTTCTATGATCACTTATTACAACACTGGCCAGTATATGTAAAGACGAATATATCTCTGCTTTATATTTTCATTGCATTGACAGATATTTGTAGTTTTATTTTTGAAATTGATGTGGTTAGGCCGTCATAAAACAATTTATAGTAACAGAACTTATTGAAATGCATCTAACTGACAAGTTGTCACAGCAAGCTAAGATGGTCAGTTGGGGGAAACTGAGAAGAAAAAAATCTAGACAAAAACAAACAAAAATCATATTTAACGTAAAAACCACGAAGAGCCGCTGGTCTGACAAGTGTTTCAAACTAGTCTGAGTTGTCTTTCAAACTGGTCCGAGCTGTCTATAAAAGTGGTCCGAATTGTCTTTAAATTGGCCCGAGTTGTCTTAGTCCGATTTGCCTTTGGGTCCGAGTTGTCCCGATTCCACCCCAAGCTGCCAAGATGTCACTTTTTATCGATATTTCTTTGAAATCCCGTTGTTCAACTATAGAAAAAACATAGGAGTTAAGTCTTTGTGTTGAACCGACGGTTTATATTTACACTTTTAAACGACCCAAGATTAAATGCTACCTGTAAGCGTAATTGTAATCCTAATCGTAGGTGTATGACAGTTTCCGCAAATATCTAATAAAAACACCTGACATTCATCATTTGCAGTTGTAGGGCATAAAACTTTAACAAAATTGGATTTATTACAGTGTATCAATTGTTGTCGGATATAGTGACTGTTAACTACAATGTACGACAAATTTAGTTAATTTAAACCATCGTAAAAATTTGGATTAGCCTTGTTACCAGAAGTTTCTTGTTTCTCTGTGTATTGAGGAAGTTCATGATCATCAATAGCATCTATATATGGATCTGTTTGATCTGGTCTATTTCTGAAATACTTTACCCCACCAAAGACAATAATAGTAAGTATTATTCCAGCAACGACTGATCCACTGACTATCCCAATTATTTTGTATGAATTATTTCCTTTTGGTTGGTTTGCTGTCGAAAGTGGCGCTGAAAAAAATGTCAAATTATATTTTCTTCAAAAATTAATTAGTTTCAAAATCCTTAGCTAACAAGCAATTTTATGGGGCTTTTTCATGTGTATAAAACGATACCACACGGATATTGTTGATACTTATATGACATTTTATGAATAAATAATTGGTTTAATGAGCGTCATTAGATTTTTATTTTTTTTTATTTTAGTTTCATATAAGCCAAACATTTTTTTGCTTCAACAATGTTGATATTACTTTCATCAATGACCTTGACATATCGTCGTGTAAGTCTTCTAGTGTTATATGTACACTTTTGATAAAAATGGAGATAGCTATATATATGATATCCAGGTGAAATGGTCCCTATATATATCGGTTCGGAGAAAAATAGTTTTATAGTGTTGTATCTCCACTTTTTTCAAGTATTATTGCTGTATGATATTTGTTATTAAACAAATCTTAGTAGTACTATGCTTAAATTGTTTGCATGGTTTGAACTTAATCTATGAGTTATTCTGAGCAAAATAAGCATTCTTGAATTTGCGATATTACACAATTGAAAAATCCATGATCTATCTCCAATAGAAATATAGGGATTAATTTCTAAAACAACATTGTTTGTCGTAAAGTGTTCTATCTCCAGAAAAGGAGAAGCTTTAGTTATTCAAGGTGCTTGTCTATTCAAAAGACAATGGAACAAATAGTTACTTTACATATAAAAATAAGAAGATGTGGTATGATTGCCAATGAGACAACTCTCCACAAGAGACCAAATGACACAGAAATTAACAACTATAGGTCACCTTACGGCCTTCAACAATGAGTAAAACCCATACCGCATAATTAGCTATAAAAGGCCCCGAAATGTAAAACAATTCAAACGAGAAAACTAACGGCCTGATTTATGTACAAAATAATGAACGAAAATCAAATATGATATACAGCAACAAACGACAACCACTGAATTACAGGCTCCTGACTTGGGACAGGCACATACAGAATGTGGCGGGGATAAACTAGTTTGAAGGTGCGCCAATCCTCCCCCTAACCTGGGACAGTGGTGTAACAGTACAACATAAGAACAAACTATAAAAATCAGTTGAAAAGGGCTTAACTCATCAGATCGATACAAAGCAGAAATACATCTAACAAAAACACAGAGTGGACGTGGCAGGGTACTTAATATACATCCCAACAACAAAAAGACACTAAGATCAGATATGAGAGTACTCGCAGTTACTGACAGCTAGTTTAAAGCCAATAAAAACTAATAAAAAAAACATGCATTTAAGACTAAAGTTGAAATCAGTACACATCTAACATCCAATGGATTTAGTGTAAAGACGTCATTAACAGTCAGAGAAAATTATGACCTAGTGCAATGCCAAGATGCAGGTATCGACAGATTGTAGAGCCAAACTTCCAAACCAAATCTTTATATCTATGGAAGAATTTAGTAAAGGTTTTAAATAATTTGTGGTAACGAAATCCCTGACATAATAATTTACCAGTAATACATAGACTACGTTCATTGAAATCCAAAACGTCATAACAGGCAAATTCTGTAAATTCAAGTCCTACATAACTTTCTATATCTCTGTCAAATATTTATGATCTCGCGTTTTAAAACTTCATGTTCAATTTCCAAACACTAAGAAAAACATTATAACACTTACACGACGATATCGCTGGTGGTAGAATGAACATTTTATAGTTTTGTTTTTTCAATAAATGTTCTCGGGCAACACTAACACAATTATATTTTATTTTTAATACATGGATCTAGTTGTAATTAGTGCTTCGCCTCGCCCAATCATTTATATCCACAGGCTGTTAAAACGACTGCTGCAGAACATCAGAAAAAACCCTATTTTAAATCTAGAAAATAATTGGTTTTTTTTGTTATTTGTTCTACCGCGATGGTGTAAAAGCTTTGTTATTGTGATTTATACTCATGTTTTAGGGGAAATAAAGGGCATCATAAAAGTACATATGTTTGTTTTTTTTCTTCTTCACATAAACCATTTTGCAAATACTTTGTGCAACTGCATTAAGGAATAAATCCTTGCAACTTAATGAATGTAATAAACTTATTCATAAAAATTATTTCACATTTGTGTAAGATCCTTTTTTTGAATCTTCTCTTCATCGGTTCATAAAATATTTAATAAAAAACTAATTATTCACAGAACAGCTCAAGGTATTTTTAACTTTAATTTCTAATATGCTGATAAACAAATCATATATGATTTAGAATGACCAATTCATCTTTGATATTGAAGTTTCATGGGGAATGATTCCTATAGAATATCAGGGGATCATTTTTGATCAAATGTACATCCATCACAATAACCAAAACACTTTGAAAAAAGAGGCGTATAATACCAAAGGGATATTCAAACTCATAAGTTGAAAACAAACTGACAATACCATGGCAAAAAATGAAAAACAACCAAAAGGCAACTGAGCAACACGAGCCCCACCACAAACCGGGAATGATCTCAGGTGCTCCGGAAGGGAAAACGGATCCTGCTCCACATATGACAACCGTCGTGTTGCTTATGTAAGTAAGAACCCGGTGTTAAGTCTTAATCAGTACGTCACATTCGAGGAAAAGAGGACGGGATTATGGTTACGACAATTGAAACATATCAGTCCTTATATTCCTGTCTTTCATCGTTTCAAAGGAGATGCGAAAACAAGTGATGATCAAATTAATGACATTGACTTCAATTTTAAAATATGACTAAATTTTTTTATTTGCTAATATTAATAAGGGTTTAAATGCTTTCAATATCAGTAATATATTCCGCCAAAATTTTTGCACAAACAATACATGATTACTTTCAAAATAAAACTACACCTGTCATTCCATATACCTACCTATTGATCCAACAAGTTCAACGATGTAAAATCCAAACCTCCCGATTACTATTGTTCATTGTCCTCATACATAATTATATAATCCAACTGGTCGTGTTATAACTGGAGACCTTGGCATTGTAAACAATAAACAACATAGAGAGTTGTTAACCGAAAGCCAGAAATATCGAACCAGTCCATTAACGGTAAGAAGAACTTCAGGCTACAGACGGACTATGCCAGAAAATGGGTAAAGCACAAGCCAGATGAACCAAAACTGCATCAAAGCTGTTCGGTCATGCATACAAAACGCATTCAAAATATACAACGTACAATTAGTACACTGGTTGCTAACCCTGTCATGAAATATTAGGTTATGGATTATTTTTCCTCTCTCCTCAACAAACATATTTTGTTCCATCAGACATAGGCTCTAACAATATTGTTTTATAATCAAGAACTCAGAATTTACAGCAAAACTTGGAAATTCACATATCACATACAAAAGAGGAGATTAAAAAATATCCAATCCGTCCTTTCTCTGCTTTTGTATTAGCATCAAAAGGGACGATAAAAATTTCCCATCTTTATACTGGATACATAAACTTCACAAAAATCCTTATAAAGAACCATATATAGCCGGGTCGTCAAGATGCTCGACTAAACATCTTCCTAAAGCTCTTACCACCATCCATACAACTTATTTTAAAGTTTCCAGGGGAGAAAACTCCTATTAAATAGGACGGTCCTCTTTCGACCAAAACTTTAAAGTTACGACATGTCGCAACAAACCATTTGGTAAACTTTTTTGTAATTATTTATAAAGATTTGTGAGGAAAAGCGAAAATAATCAAAAGTTAAAATTTAGACCATGACCTCAATTTTTTTTTGGTGGACCAAGGGCATCAAATCAAAATACCCTAGGTCTCTATAACTTACAGTTCATGAGTAACATTTATATATCACATGGGAGTCTCCGTATCGCTTCGAACAAAATTTAACAAAACATTCTGAGGATATAACGAGCAATTTGTAAGAATCAAAGAAGAAGAACTGAATAGCGAAAGAACCGATATACTGAATAGATGGGTAGAACATTTTAGTGAAGTGTTAAATGTCTAAAATTTCGACTCCATTTATTTCTAAAAGTAGCTCATGAAGGTATATTTTTTATTACATATTTGAATTGACTAGGTGTAAAAAAGTTCACCGTGGGATCAAAACTGTATCGTATGCCTTTAAATAGGCAAGACCCTCTTTATCAAATATCAGAGGAAGATTTAGATATAGCTTAAAATATAGATGAGATGAATTAGGGGAATGGACAAAAGCTGAAGTTAAAAGAGCATTGAAGAAGATTGGAAAGTCAGCAGGAATAGACAGTATAACACCAGAACGAATAAAGACCGACATAGATTTAACAGCAGAGAAAATTACTGAAATATTTAACAGCCTATGGGAAGAAGAAAATAGCCATCAGACTGGAGAAAGTGAATGATTTGCAAGATATTTAAGAAAGGCAATATGACAGTTTGTAACAACCAGAGGGGAGTGACTCTTTTACCTATGCTCAGCAAAGTATTCTGCAGAATGCTGATAGAAAGGATTAAACAAGGAATAGCCAAAAGATAACGGAATGAGCTGGCAGGTTTTTGACCAAATAGAGGAACAACCGAACAGATTTTTATCCTTCAAAACATACTTGAACAAACAAATGAATGGAGGTCAGCAGTATACATAATTTTTATAAACTTTGAAAAAAACATTTGACTCAGTCCATCGAGAGAGTCTATGGAAGATCATGAAATGCTATGGAATACCATGCAAGATCAAAAGAACTATAAAGGAAATATGTTCCGGATCTAGGTGTACCATCATCGATCAGGGAGAAACATCGGAATGGTTCGAAATAAAATCAGGAGTAAAGCAGGGTTGAATAATGTCAGGTTTTCTTTTCCTTCTAGTCAAAGACTGGATCATACAAAAAAAAAAAAAAAAACTGCAGACAAAGCCAGAGGGGTAAGATGGAACTTTACCACCGTTCTAGATGGCCTTGACTTGGCTGATAACATAGCACCTCTTTCCTCAAAACTTAACAACCTTGATGAGTAGACGCAGAAATTAACAACAGAAACCGAGAGAGCTGGAATGAAACTAAACACCCAAAAATGTAAAACCCTGCGATCCCTGCATACAAAGAGTACAGAGCTGATAACATTATACAACGAGAAAGTAGAGGATGTAGCAGTCATGGACATAGAAGGAGGAGGAAGAAGCGACATCAAAAACAGAATACAGAAAGCAGGAGGGCCTTTCCATCGCCTAAGAAACATATGGTTACAAGAGGGATTGGTCGAAAAACAAAAATACACCTGTATAAATCATTGGTAATACCTGTACTACTGTATGGATGTGAAACATGGAAACTCAAAAACCTTGAAGAAAAGAAACTAAATACTGTACAACATGAATGCCTAATAAAAGATCCTAAAATAAGATGGCAATGTAAAACATCAAACAAGAAAGTAAATGAAATTGCTAACACCAGAAAAATCAGTTGTGAACTTAGGAGGAGACGGTGGACATGGATAGGACACATATCAAGGCGTGAATGAGATAACAACAGTAATGTAGCACTACAACGGGCTCCAGAAGGGAAAAGAGCTAAAAGAAGGCCAAAAACTAAATGGAAAAGAACAACAGAGAAAGAAAGAAACCAACAAGGATGAACAAGTGGAACATGGCCAGAACAGCGACACAAGATAGAAAAGGTGGAATGTCAGCGTGGAGGCCTTATACAACTTCTGTCGCGGAGAGAATTAAGGGTAAGGAAGTGTCAATCAGATGTCAATTCTTAAAAATTATAAGATGTGCTGCAAAATCTTCAATCAAAATCTCTTCAAGTTAGCAGTAATATTAATAAATTATTTCATTAAAAAGAGTCTTTTCTTCAAAAAGGGAATCGTAGATTAAGGTTATGAAAAATATTACTTTATGAAGAACTGCACTGATTCGAAAAACAAATACATCGAGGAGGATATCATTAACACGCTGGACTTTTGATCGACAACATATTTGTTGAGTTTGGTGGTTTCATATTTCAGCAGACAATCGGTATTCCAATGTGTACTACATGTAATTGTGCACCCCTATTGACTGAATAGAATTCTGTTGATATGAAGCAGATTTCATATAGAATCTTTTCAAAGACAAAATGAAAAAAAAAACAAGTTGCGAAGAAAAAGCGACGGAGGATACTAAGAGGACACTCAAAGTTCTTTCATTTCATTTTCAGATATATTAATGATGTCTTGTCACTCAATAATTAACTTTTCAGTGAGTGCTTGCATCTCATATTTCCCATTGAATTACTACCAAAACTAGAAGGTATGCTTCATATCTTGACTTTTCCTCTATATTCATACAAACGGGCGACTTCAAAAAGAATCTTCATGTATGACAACCGTGATAATGTCAATTTTTCAATTGTAAACTTCCTATTTCCAAGCAGTAACATAATCTCTTCACTATCGTATGGCGTTTATATATATCAATTGAAAAAAAAACCGCTCCTGCACGTTCACACTATACTGACTTCATTAGCAGGGATACACTCCTTTCACAAAAACTTTTCTAACAGAGGTATGACGAAGAACGACTAAAATCGATGCTTTGTAAGTTTTACGGTCTCCATAATGAATTGGTTGACATTTATGATATGTTTGTTCGACATGTTTTTGCGGTCATATATCTTTAGAAACAAGAATAGTCGATTAAACTGTAACTGTTCCGATTGTGACATTTTAACTGAGTGAGGATTTGCATGGTCATCCAGGCAAAACAGGAGACGTTCACTCTGTCGACGCACCCGGTCTCGTTCCTTGTTTATCGTCAAAATTGATCTATGAGATTCAAACATCGTAATACTATTTTTCCCTTAAATTAACTAAATTCACATCAATATGCATCTGACTTAAAAGGAAAAAAGAGGAAATAACTCCTATATAATGACAATGGAATTCTTGTTTTTGGATGAGATGTAATAACAAAGAAAAAAAGTGTCAGAGAAGATAACTTTTTTTTTAAAGGGTAATGATTGGATGACTAGGGAGAGTTCAAAGGCGCAATTTCGATATCATTTGTTTACATTTCTCAACTGTTTATTCTTTTAATTTGCTTTTGCTTCGTCGTGTAGCTCCAAAAACTTCTTCGTTTCAAATGATTTGGTGTAATTTTCATTTACTAGCACTGAGTGGATACCACAGCAAGTGTACTGATAGTTGCTGTGGGTACAATCAGCTCAGTAGTCAGTTCTAGTGTTATGGTATGGAAATGATGTATAATATATTTTTCTGAAATTCCCCGATCCAACTCCTCAGGTAAAAGTTGACCTTTAAATAATTTGTCTTTTCTTGTTAGGTTCCTTTTGGTCATCGAGTTCCTAACGTGTGTACGTAAATATACATCTTTCGTTTTTAAATGTTTATATTTGAGCATTCCTGATGAAGGTAAATAAAGAAAAGCGTTCCGGACGCTCGAAATTTATAAAGTGTTATTTGCCTTGATGGGACTCGTGCGTATCCAGCGAAAACTATTCCAGACATGCGAGTCTTGCTTACTGAAATAGGTATTATATGAATATATTACTACCAATGCAATTGACTTTCAATTGGCATATAAACCAACTGCAATATAGACAGTGCTTTGGTTAAAGCCAGATATAAATGACAAACTTTAGGTTAATTGTAAATGTTCACTATATAATGACACAATTTTACTAAATCCAAGTTGCAACCACCTCGTAGTTAAAACATTTGACATTGGTTTTGATTGCTTTATCAAGGCACGGTTAACCTTTGGTTCCTTTGATTATTTTTTTTATAAATGGCTTCAAAAGCATTCAGCCTAGACATCGCACCTGATGTAATATTGTCAAAAAACACTTGTGAACTGAGATCGAGGTACTGTTGCAATTGTTAATGTTCCTATGTCGTTTGCTGTCTGGGAGTTACATTTATGAAACAATGTTGGGTTTTGTTTGTTCATTTTTGTATAGTTTGATAAGTAATCAAAAATAAATTCTACGTCTCAGTTTTTAAATCACCCTTAATTGCTATATTGCCAAAAATGTCTTTCATGAACTTCCTATTATAGGATGAAACATTTTGTCTCACGATAGTTGAGAGCACATTGCCCTAAAACAGATTGACTGAAATATTAAGCACGCAAATAAATCAGTAATCAACATTTGATATTTTTCTTTCGAAAACGCATTTTATTACTAGTCCGCGGTTAAAACAGAAATGCATTGACAATATTCAAATTATTGTCCAAGTTATGTTAACTTATGTATAAGTTATAGAAATGACTGTTCTTTAGCGTTTCAATACTGTGATGAACTTTAAAGGAATAGCCGTCTTCAAAGTCAGATATAACACATACCACAAGTATCTCTTTTGTCAGGTTTTGTTTTACCAAAATAACAATCTTCTTTCAGCCTACAACATGGCGTAGCAATTTGTTGTCCAGTGTCTGTATACTCACACCACGTGCACTCAGCTTCGCTATAACAGTCTCTAAAAATAAATCGTGCATTATTTAACATCATTCTCCTTCAAAATGCATACTTTATTATTATAATGAATGATTGATTGTTGATTGCTTTACGCTGCATCAGCACAAAAATGCTATATCGCGGCGACTTTATTATTATAGGACATAGACATAATTTGGAATGCACTATAAAAAGAGTTTGTGATTGTTGTCGTCCAATTCATTTTCTATCTGTAGACAATATCACTGAATCGAAATTATACGTCATTGAGCTGAAAATATAAAGCCCACTCCCACCACACACACCCATTCCACCCTATCCCTACACACATGTCAATATGCATTCTTCAATAACAAACTGAGATAAGTGTTACTACAATATGTCAAGCTTCTAGTGTAGGCGAGTAATTAAATTACAACTTACATTCAAAGTATCATTTTTCGAGATAAAAGGTAACCAAAGAAAACTATTGCACTAGGACTTTGGTAATGGCATAAATAAACGGATATTGTTTTATTGAAATTTGCTGTTATAAAATTTTATAAATCTTTGAAAATTAAAGAATGTATCTTTCTCAAGCAAAGCTCTGATTTTTCTCGTTCGTGTTTGACTATTCTTTTAGAGTTTTATTTTAGTTTTATCAGCTCTTAAACGTTTATATTAAATTTAGATTTTCAAATGTTTTTGGTTCGATCACTACTGAAGAGACATTACCTGTCCTAACGCCCATCTGGTGCGGTAAAATAGGTACCAGTAATTTTATTACTACTATTAGGTCGATACCTGTGCCAGTGGACTCCTCGTTCTCGAGGGTATCACCAGCTCAGTAGTCAGTACTGTGGTACCGCATTAAAATACTGATATTGTACTATTAAAATTGGATTCAAAAATTAAAATTGGTATCGTAATTATTATTGCAAGTTGATTTTTCTTGCAATTCATTTTGACGATTGCTTTCATTTGAATCTCGCAATATCTTGTACCGTTTTCGATATATAATCGGTCAAAGGCCCCTAAATACATTTTCATTGGAAATTTTTTATCCCTTTTTTTGGTTGACGTTCATCGCCGAGGGTATCACCAGCCCAGACATGAAGTAGTATTGTTAAGGTCTTTTTTGGTAAACTTACTGTTTATAAAATATTGAATTCTTCGAAACATTCAGAACTGAATACCCCCAGGCATAAAACTGCCGAAGCCGTATTTTGCACAATTTTTCAGAATTTTTTCATGCTCTTCAACTTCGTATTTAATTTTGTCTTCTTCGTAGTTAATTTGACCTTCTAACTGTTTTGATTCGATTTTCAGACTGAAATGCAAAATAGCATAAAGTAATAATAGAAACAACACAACTTAATGTGGGAGCATGACAAAAGACAACTGAAGCGTTCCCTATAGATAAATCGGAATTTACGGTGTTTTATGCTCTTTAATATCGTATTCAATTTGGCCCTTTACGTAATCAATTTGACCTTTTTACTGTTTTGAATTTAGCTGTCAGACTGAAAGACAAAACAGCATAAAGTAATAATACAACCACATTACGTAATTTAGGAGCATCATAAATTACATCTGTGGCGTTCCATATATTTAAATCTTACTGTTTTTCTGTCTTCAGATGACACCTAGGGATAAAGCATGCTTTCAGTCCATCGGTAACATCAGGCTTGTTTTTACCAGATGTATCTGGAATTCTAGCACTACATGGTGAACTGGCTGATCTGTAAATATTAAATGGGCTATTTTGTCATAAAGTTTCGGACAAAAATTGTCGCAACTACCGAAAACAAGTCGTCTTAGTCCTTTATGCTTCTCTCTTTTCAAACAACTTTTTTAAGAGAAAAGCTTACTATAAACTAAAGGTGCATCATTCATAATTAATAAATTACTTTTACCAGTGGTTACATTAGAACTAAATATATGTAATTCTGATAAGCGAAATATAAATGTGCTTTAGCTGTCTCGAATTTTTCGAGGAACTATTCCTAAAAATATGAATTCAGTCTGAAGTATTTAAAAACAAACTTATTCAATCATTCATCTTCCTTGATCGAACTGACAATTTCAATTTCCTTCCTGACATTACTTTGCCTACCATATGCTTATCGGAAATTGGCGTTTTGACATCGGAAAGAACAGTGACGTCTGAGGATCTGAGCACAATTCTTGTTTTGTTTAAGGTTTATAAAGCTGATTTTTAAATTTTTTTTGTATAGTGTTTTATAGAGTGTTTTTTGTCCTTTTAAGATTGGTTCTGGTGTTTATTTGTCTTCGACTAATGACTCTCAATTGCCCCTACCCTTCTTAGTTTTGTTTACTTTTATTATCTGTCATTGAAAACATTTGTTACTTTGAACTGGGATGTTTTTCTGTCACGGCTACAGGGTCAAAATATATGAAAAATGTTCAGATATAACCTATGGCTTATTCGCATACTTCTTTTGTTACGCATTCACAAATGATTGAGTAAAACTTGCTTTGGTACAAATGTTATACATAAAAAAGTTATATAAGCCTAAATTGAATAAAATGTTGTTTATAAAAATGCAAAAAGCACACAAGTATTTGTTTTATGTTGCATAATATATATGGTGAAAAAAGGGTTGTGAGAAAAAGATACTTTATAAAAAAAAAAAAACCGGAGATAGTGACTTTGTTCTGTGAATGTCTGCATCATAGTATATAACATAAATACATGTAGTTTGAACATACTCCGTGTTATATCTGTTTGCGCAAACATCATAGATAATTGGTATATGACACAAACATTGACAGGATTCCTGGCATTTAACGACATCTGGTGACTTTGATCCATCCTAAATTCATAAAAGTAAAAAATAAAGTAATAACAAAATAAAAAGGAAAAGTCTACATGTTTTTCCGATTCTGATTATCAAACTTCGACCTGTAGTCCTGTTTTTGTCTTTTTGGAGTGAATTTCTCCAAACGCCCAGGCTCGTCGATAAAGATGATTGAAACCAGAGGAAGTTAAATTGTCTTGTGAATTAAACGATAATTCAAGATGCTGTGATGGGAAGCTAGTAAATTACTACATCACGTTATAGGCAGCTTCTTTGACAACAGAGCTACTGGATTCCTATCAAATCATTGGGTATTAAACGAAATAGATTCAATTGTTTACTCTGTTTGCTCATTTTTATAGTCAAATATTAGATTTTAGCCCAGTTGCTGAAGTGGTAAAATTTTTTATAACGTAACTCATTCGCAACAGATGAAAATACTTAAATGCTATATTTGTACAGTTTACAAATATCGCGTGCTTGTATTTTGTTTCTATTTTTAACAAACTCTCATACTGATATTACTGGTTACGTCACATTTCATGTTTTTGGTTCTCTCAGCGTTTAGTATTCAAACAATGTCTGTAAAAACCAAAGAAAAAAGTAAAATAACAAAAATACCGCACTCCAAGGAAAATTCAAACCGGAAAGTCCCTTATAAAATGGCAAAATCAAAAACTCAAACACATCAAACGTATAGAAAACATCTGTCATATTCCTGACTTGGTACAGGCATTTCCTTATGTAGAAAATGGTGGATTAAACCTGGTTTTATAGCTAGCTAAACCTCTCACTTGTATGACAGTCGTAAGAAAACGATAGGGAGTAAAACATAAATTTTTGAAAGTCAATATTGAATGGCAGCATAAAATCAATAGTTTTCATTATACACAAAGTAGAATACATATGTTATCGCTACGAATTAGGAGAAAGTTTCAACAAGCATCGCCGTTCTTTCCAGACTTTGTTAGGATAAATATCAAATTTTCCGTTTGTGCATCTTTAGAGTTTTCAACGGCTTTATTGAATATTTTGAAAATTAAGCAAACTGATTTTGTTAAATTTATCATTATGTAGATTGATAGTAATTGTTCATTCTATTATTATCGTCCTCATTAGATACAATAGTTTCCTTACAATGGAACGGTTCTGATAATTCAAGCTAATCAAATGGTATCTTTATTAGAGTAACAAATATGCTTGTATTAATAATGTATTAGTAAAGTACTTCAAAATAGTTTAAACATATTCAATTGAAAACAATGTTCACTTACTTTAAATGATATCAACATATTGAATCGTAGGAGTACAACAAGTGTCCGAGCAATTCCAAGGTACAAATATTATGCAATATGCAGCCTAAACTTACACAAGAACTAAGGAATATATCTCCCTCCTACAAAGCTCTATTCCTTGTCCGGCTTTTGTTATACCTTTTGTCTGTTTTGGTCTTATCAGCTCTTCAATTTTATCATAAGTTATGGAATTTCAAAATTTTTGGCCTCAAGCATCACTAATGAGACATTTATTGTCGAAAAGCGCATATGGTGCAGTAAAACTGGTACTGTTGATGTTATTATATGAACTTACACAAGAACATGTGCTTGATGGTCTCGACTTGAATCTTATAATGAATAAGTTACTGTCAGCAATAGGTCTTATCTCAAATTTGTCTTCAGTATCCCTAAAATCCAATCCACCCAAAAATCCTGATGGCATGGTAACCTTTGTAAAAACCAAGTAAAAACATTTTCAGAAGGTCATTACGGATTCACATTAACAGAGAAGAGAAACATGTTTGTAAAAACCTAAAATTGTAACAATTATGTTATTATTACTGATAATATATTTAACAACCGTAGAATAAATTGATTAACATGAATAAAACAATTTGTGTGTAAATGCATAATAATTGATAGCAATTTACTTATATGTACTACCAGCGCTTATTGGACACAGTATATTTGATGCGATTTTGTAATTTAATCAAGATACACTTTTCTTTTGGAAACTCTGTTCAATTTTATATTAAACTTTATTGGCTAGTTTTCATGCTTTAAAATCAAAACGTTTTTTCCAGTATGCATGTGATGCTCTCCGTGTTTTATTTTGTATTTTTTTAATAATAAAAATCTTAAACCTGTCAATGCATTACCAAATAAGAAAAATACATTTCATTTTAATATCTAACGACCTGATGTTCACACTTCAGGAACCGCTATAAAATTTTGAAATTAATGTTGACATTTCCGTCTGTTTTTAAAGACATGGCTTTGCAAACAACAAAAGAAGACACGTTGACGTTCTTTGAAACTAAACATATGGAACAAGATTTGTTTGTAATGAAAATCTACCGAATTTTCGCACTCAATTTACATCTTTTTTTTGGAAATGAGGTATATGTATCTGTGTTTGTGTTGTAATTTTCATTAAAAAAATGTGAACTAATATTAAAATAAATTGGCATATGTACATTTCCTTGTCGTTATTAGATAATGTGATGTTTACCCTAAATGACCGAAGATTTGTGTTCTCAGAGAAATCTTGGCATTCTTTGAAATTCAGCACTAATTTATTCTTCAATATCTCTGCAAAACCAGGCTCCTACAATATAATATGTCCGTTTAGGTTTTTTATATTTTGAATGAGTTAATGCTTCGAAGTAGCCCTTTTAGATAACTCGAAATTCAAGTAAAGCAGTGGAAGAACCAAGAGATTTACATCATATTTTTTGGCAATCTAGAAATAACAGAACATTGAGATAATCGAAATGATGTTGTATAGAAATTACAAATTTGTAGATGCAGTAATAATTTAAGTATTTATGACTTCCTATTATTTTCATTAAGAAAATATACAAGTATCTATCTGGATATTCTACATAGTAAGATTCTTCTAAAATAACTGTTTGTTATATATCCTCAAGTATGCCTATCTACCGAACAGATCCTTTTATTGTATAAGACAGTGGAACCCTTATACATGAAGTATTAATTTGAATTAACGTTACAAACAAAGACAATGAAAGGAATAGTTTCAAGAAGGGTCAACATCAAATACGTAAAATTTAACTTCAGTAATAATAGTAAACATTTCATGACAAATAATGTAATTATATCTGCAAAATACGGAAGTAACATGCTCTGACGTATTAGAACACTTTGGGTGTCATTTTGATTATATATGTGCAATTTTATGAAGAAATTCACTACTTACGGACTTTTTGGCTATATTTTATAGTTTTTGCGTCATACGACATTTACCACACAAATGGACCACCATAATTATTTGTTAGGATATGTATCTCAACCATATACATCTTTTTATATCAAATTCATTTTGGTCCAAGTGTGCGGCGCCTAATGTTTTCAGAAGGAAATACACTATAATGCATAACATCAGACAATCTGGTTTTAAACTTGTAGAAATTCATGTTTAAGATGTTTACATTGTTTGCATTATCAAACAATAGATAGGGAAAGTTCTAGTTTATCTAAATATACATAATAGTATAAAAGGTCGTTAGTAAAGATTGTTTTATTTGACATTAAAAGGTCAATTAAAAGAGCCAAAGTAAGGGCCTCAAAGTAAATCATACCTCGACAGTAATATGTTTAGGTTCATGAAAATCGGATTCATCTGTAGTGTCTTTAAGTCTAGGGTGCATCACAATAAATCCACTATTGTCTAAAATAATGCAACTGAAATGAAACGCAGGAGAATCTTTAAATATGAATTTGCAAACCACAATGAAACAACCGACCGACAATACGACAGCGCTGAAATAATTGTTACTGCAAGAGACATTTATAACCTCTGATTCTTTCCTATTTGGATAGCCACATTAGCACAACTTATATATTGCAGTGATAAACCAGTTGTTAGGCACTCAATCTACTACTTCCTCGATTTGTTAAATGAAACAAATCAAAAGTTCAAGAAGATCGCAAATACATTTTTTCTAAACAGACAAAATAAATCAAAATAATGTTGAAATCCTCGATGAATCACTCCAACCAATAATAACTGTTGGATCTAAAACAAAATAAATGTCAACAATGGTATAAATACTATATAAAACAAGAAGTTGCAAGCGTTAAAGTGTTAAGCCCCCCATAGTCGTTACTGAAGGTATAGAAAATAGAAGCTGTATAACAGATCCCAAAAGCGCTCGTAAGTTATAGCTCATCAAACTGGCAAGCTGCTGACCAAACCTAAAGTCGTTCTCTTCAGCAGTTTCTTAGAAATGTGTGACGAAAATATTGATTCCATCAACATATTGAAGAAACAAATTGACAAAAAGGAAGTTCGTATCTGACAGTTTTGCTAAGGACTATAACGTAAAAATAAATTACTGTCTAGCTGCTGGCCAAATAAGGAGACATTCAATTTAGAAAAACCTGTCCAAAGTGGATACAAATATTTGTTAAACGATCAAACGAACGAGCGAACGGCCAAAAATCAAAATAATCCATCATGAAAGTGGCAATATATCGACCATTTCGAGAGAGTGGGGGACACCATTAGCTTACTGTTTAAGAAAAGCAAGATCAAAATAATCATGTTTTATAATTGCCAAAAAACATGCTTTTTTTTATTGTATAATACTCAAAACTGCAAAAATATAACTAGAGGCTCTCAAGAGCCTGTGTCGCTCACCTGATTCTTTGGTTTTGGAAATCATGTAAAAATAGATTAAAATCATAACAGATACCCTCATAAAGAGGCCACATTTGGTTTAATATTGGCCCAGTAATTTAATAAAAAATCCTGGTGGCCATCTTGAACAGTAAATCGGCAACGAAGTAGCAACACTTCATCAGCACCTCATAAGAAACATTTATGCCATGTTTAGGGTCTTATGTTAAAGGAAGTCCCCCCGCTGGCAGCCATCGTGGACGAAGAATCAGCTTCAAAGTAACAACACTTAGTCAGTACCTCATACAGAACATTCATGCCACGTTTGGTTTCAATCCATCCAGTGGTTCTCTAAAAGAAGACATTTGTATGTATTGTCCATAGGGTCCTTTGTTAAACATTGTCCAAGCTGGCGGCCATCTTGGATAATCGATCGGCTTCAAAGTAACAACACTTGGTCAGGACTTCATAAGGAACATTCATGCCATGTTTGGTTTCATTCCATTCAGTGGTTCTCTAAAAGAAGACATTTGTATGTATTTCCCAAAGGGTCCTATGTTAAAATAAGTCCCCCGCTGGCAGCCATCTTGGATTATGGATCGGCTTCAAAGTAACAACACTTGGTCAGCACCTCATAAGGTACATTCATGCCACGTTTGGTTTCAATCCATCCAGTGGTTCTCTAAAAGAAGACATTTGTATGTATTGTCCATATGGTCCTTTGTTAAACATTGTCCCAGCTGGCGTCCATCTTGGATAATCGATCGGCTTCAAAGTAACAACACTTGGTCAGCACTTCATAAGGAACATTCATGCAATGTTTGGTTTCATTCCATTCAGTGGTTCTCTAAAAGAAGACATTTGTATGTATTTCCCAAAGGGTCCTATGTTAAAATAAGTCCCCCGCTGGCGGCCATCTAGGATTGTGGATCGGCTTCAAAGTAACAACACTTGGTCAGCACCTCATATGGTACATTCATGCCATGTGTGGTTTCTTTCCAATCAGTGGTTTTCTTAAAGAAGACATTTGTTTGTATTTCCATTAGGGTCCTATGTTAAACTAAGTCCCCCCGCTGGCGTCCATCTTGGATGATGGATCGGCTTCAAAGTAACAACACTTGGTCAGCACCTCGTAAGGAACATTCATGCCATGTTTGGTTTTATTCCATTTAGTGGTTCTCTAGAAGAAGTTCAAAATGTAAAAAGTTAACGACGACGGACGACGGACGCCAAGTGATGAGAAAAGATCACTTGGCCCTTTTGGCCAGATAAGCTAAAAAAGAAAAGACTACGCATTTAATAGTATAACTGTAAAAAAAAATGGCACAAAGTACTACTAGTACTTTGAAGCGTGGTTGCTGTATTAACTGCATTCATGCAAGTGTTAAACCACAAACATTGATAGAATATCTTTATTGTGTTATGTTGAATGTGAAAGAAAAGATTATTTTTCAGTCGAATTTTAAAAACGTTTAGTGAAGAGTAAAATAACAAAAATACCGAACTCGAAGGAAAATTCAAAACGGAAGTGGTGGATTGTTTCCTCAATGTATTATATATATATATTGCACGCACAACAGCTATCATGTTTTATTTGACCGTATCACCAAATGAAGCATTGCATATATCGGAATTTGTTGTTCCAAATTAGTTTGTAATTCCACCAGTATAATGCACCTTATTACTTTTAAAAGAAATATATTTTTTCAAAGATTAATTTTTTTTAATAATTTTTCACCTTTTCAGTAACCGCGAATCTATAATATGGCAAATGAAAACGTCATTTATAATAATAATATAACTTGTAAAACATCTATATTTTAAATATATTAGGTTATAGAATTATCCCATATTGAATGCATGATACTATTTTAATCACAGAAATAATTGTACATCAATGGCTTTCCACATTCTTTCAATTATTATAGTTTACCTGTTTCCGTCTTCACAGGAAGGATAAATTTTACTAATGAACCAATTAAAATACTGTAATGGGAAATCTGCAGCGACAGTGGCAGTAACTGCACTGGAACTAAAATATGTCAAAGAATAAATAATTGTTAACAAATGTAATTTACAAAATACCTTTTTTTAAATGATAATTGGAATACTAGTACATATAAAAAAGAAGATGTGGTATGATTGCCAATGAGACAACACTCCACAAGAGACCAAATGACACAGAAATTAACAACTATAGGTCACCGTACTTCCTTCAACAATGAGCAAAGCCCATACCGCACTGTCAGCTATAAAAGGCCCCGAAATGACAATGTAAAACAATTCAAACGAGAAAACTAACGGCCTAATTTATGTACAAAAAATGAACGAAAAACAAATATGTAACACATAAACAAACGACAACCACTGAATTACAGGCTCCTGACTTGGGACAGGCACATACATACAGAATGTGGCGGGGTTAAACATGTTAGCGGGATCCCAACCCTCCCCCTGACCTGGGACAGTGGTGTAACAGTACAACATAAGAACGAACTATAAAAATCAGTTGAAAGAGGCTTAACTCATCAGATGGATAAAAATACAAATACTACAAATACAAGTGGACGTGGCCGTGTACTTGTATATCCAAACAACAAAAAGACACTAAGTACAGATATGAGAGTACTCGCAGTTACTGACAGCTAGTACATGTCTTGATTTATACATGTACATAGGGCTCAAGCGTTTTTCGTTGTTTCATTCGTTTAAATCAAAAGTATCAACCTTAGTGTCTTTTAATGTGATTGGGGTCGGTGAAATAATGTTTCTGCAGGACCAAAAATTATCAGTCTAACAATGCAGTTCTGCAAAAGGTATTAAAAAAAGCAAATTTTCTGGAATAATATCAAATCGTGAAAATTTGAAAGACATTTCATTGAAACTTGGTAACGTCCGAATAGTTTTTGAAATGGAAGATCGTCCTGGTGGTTTGTTCAAAAGGAAGACCTATCATTCTAAAATAAAGTAACTCCATAGGGGTATATAATCGATTTTTTTCAGAAAGATTTTCCATTATGGAGGACAAAATCCAAATCTGTATCATACGCCAAGGCAACGACTGTATCAAAATAACATTATACAGTTATTGACTAATCTGAGTACAGCAGCTTTGTTTTAATTGAAGTGCAATGTTTTTACAGAAATGAGTATAAGGATTTATGATTGAGGATGGTGTGCAAGATCCCAAGATTACATTGTTTTTGTCAAATTTGCCGTAACCTTTCGGAATGTTTGGATTGCAATGCACTTCAAATTCGTGTTTGATTTTGGCTTTCCAACTTTATTTATTCGAGCGCCACTGATGTACTTTTTGTAGACAAAACACGCGTCTGGTGTAACTAATTATAAGTCTGGAATTTTTGGTGAGTTTTTACAACCACAAGGTTGATGCCACTTTTCTAAATCTTTTGCTTCTAATGCTAATTAATCTCGTGTTTGATTTGGCCTTCCAGCTTTTATTTTTTTTTCGAGAGCCACTAGTGAGTCTTATGAAGACGAAACGCGCATCTGGGTTTAAAAAATTATGAACTTCGTATCTCTGATTAGTTTTAACAACCTTTGGGTTGATACTAGTGTTTGTGTACATTACCTCCTCTATCACCAGACCAGGGGTCAAAACAGTGTGTTGACATGAAATATTGAAATGGCCATTTTCTACTTTTTCTCAAGATAAAATGGTTAAACTATTACAAAACATGACATTCAACATCCACAAATTCCCATCAATTAAATACCATTATTATAATGATTATTTATTCATGCAAGAATAATAATACTCTATGAGCTATGCGCTCTTATTTATATAATTATACAAAGGTTTTTCTACTCTGACAAATAGATAGCCTTAGGCATATTTCACATAACTTTTTGGGATTTTTGGCTCTTCAACTTCGTGTTTGATTTTGTCTTCAACTTTTTTCTTTCGATCGCCGTTACCGAATCTTATGAAGACAAAACACGCGTATGGCATATCAAAGTAAAAGCCTTTTATCTTTGATTAGTTTTTTTAACAGCTGTCATAGATTATAGTTAATGGTTATCTTGCTCAAACCCTCTTCCATTTAATATATACAAATTGTTTAAATATAACATTATATAGGCTAACATAATTAAATGTCATCGGGCTATATCAAAAGCTTATTGACATTCATAGTCTGTTGACCGGTCAGCAGTAATTTCATACCGACAAGTAAGACAGTTTATAAGATTATGTATATATCAGAAATTTGTATAAAGGAGTAACAAATCAAAAGGTGTAGAGCAGAAACATATTTTGTACCTTCTCATATCAAATTTGCTTTCGAATCAAACAAAACAAAATGTTTGCACATGGGAATAGATGAATACGGGTAATTTACAAGAAAATATATATTTTAAATGAGTTTGCAACAAAGTCTCAGAAGGAAAATGTTTTAAGTTCTTATAAGCCTTGAAAGGAAGGTTTTTTTTTACATACAAATTGGTGAATTTCTTCCTATTTTAGCATAAGTTGTTTGCCTTCTTTGAAACAAAATGTTTTCATAATCCCTTGGCAACAAATAACTTATTTTCAAGATTATAACGATATTTACTTGGATTTATGTAATGTATGTATGAATGTCAGTACTATACCGGATCCCCAGCCATCAACATACGGTGTTGTAAGATACATAGTGTTTGGATGTCCTAAAGCCTGACGCCACCTAAAAATGAAATCTTATTTAATTTACATGAGTAAGTATACCGACTGACAAAACATATTTATTTTATGCAACATTTACGAAAATATGACATAAAATAAACTATATTTTCTATGTAAACTTGACTATTATGCTTGTATGTCCGAGTTTAGAAAACATTATGTTTATAAATGGTTTCAATGTATGTGCTTTAAAAAAATCCTTATACCGTACAAACTACCAATAATTGACATATTTGATAGATTTTCTGTTGGGTTGATGTATTTTCTTTTTATCTATGACCTTAGTGTAAAGCTATTTTCCGACTATTTTCGATATATAAAATATACAAAGCATAGGTTAAGGAAAAATATTTCTTACCAAGGTCTTTTTTCATGGTCAAAGCTTTTATGCATCAAAATTCCCGGATAAGTCCTCATGATTCCTGATTTTGTACCAATGTATCGCCATGACACATAACTGACTGAGTTTTGCTTCCAAAACTGCTCAGCTTTATAAGTAGCCCAGACAGATGATCGCACAGTTGACTATAAAAAGTAAATTCTTAAAATGTAAAATATGATACTATAAATGTCAAAGTATCATTGGTGTAATAAACGATTTTTACAGAGTGCATGCCTAAAATGTAAAATATAATATGACAATATCAGAAAGATGACGATTAAAAGAAATGAAAATGCATATTTTACAGTGAAACCTGGGTAAAAATTACCCTGATAAAACAGAATTTCACTTTCCTTAAACCGAACAATTTCCAAAGTCCCATGAAATTTCCCTATTAATTAACGTTAATTCAACTTGAATAAACCGAATCCTGCCGATACCGATTTCCGAACGTTTTTTTGAAGGCTAATGGGTGAATGTGTAGTAAAAGATTATCTGTCAAAATCGATCGATAGCAGTCAAAAGAATGTAAGTATTTACAATTATTTGCATGAGTGTTCAAACAAACACAGGCTGGCAAAGGATCCCCGAGGCTATTTAAAGTTTAATTTAATGAGGATTTGTTTTTATAAACTAATTAGCTTGCAAATGTACATGAATACATTATTTAAATGGAAAATCCTATCAAGAACATTAAAAATTGATAAAAATGATAACAATTTTCAAAGCCTGGAAATGGGGCTTTCTCTTTAATTCCAATAGAATTAATTAGAGATTCACAGGCAATTTCAAAATATTCACAACACGATCTTATTTTGACATATTGGATTAGTAAAACTATATTGTTTGTGACGTTTTCAAGCGCAATGTTTTCGTAATTTGGGATTCCCTTCAGAGACTGCATCGAATGCAGATGAGTCTGAAGACCCGGATGTTGACAATCCGTTATCCGTTAGAGTTCAAAAGTTAAGGTAAGGGAACCCGAACGTGCATATAATAGAAACCCGATTTTGATGACAATTAAACTACGGAATCTGCATTTGACAGTGATTGGGAATCTGACTTCAACAGTGAATTTTCACTTTAATACCATGATCGGACATAAACCATACCGACATTTTTGATTTGTTGATTAAGAGCTTGACCGTTGAACTTGAAATTGATTGATATGTTTATCTGCATATATTAAAAAAAACCTTTTTCATACATTTCATTATCTTTTTCATTGAAATCAATATGTTGTTGTCTGTTGTGTCACTTAGTATCCGTCATCAGTCAGTGTCGAAATTATTTTAAACTATAAAATTCCGTTTACCTCTACAATCTGAACACCTGTGAAAACCGAAAAAAAAAACATCAAGTCCCGAGGGTGTTCGGTTTGGACAGGTTTCACTGTATTTATTAATTAGAAAGTCAACGAGTCAGTTATAGTCGCATGATTCTCCTATGATTAATTTCCCACTCTAAAGTATTATTAAATGGTGTGTCATAGGACAACTTTCTAACTTTTCAGTTAAAACTATATGTCAAACCTGCTTTTCTCAAATCCAATAAATATACAGATGAACCCAATTAAAAAAAAAACCCACTCTAACAGGGTTATGAAAAACAACGCCTTGAATCAACATAACAAACGTGTGCAGTTGCTTTTATAATTGTGTTTATCTTTATAGTATTTAATTTTCTCTAGTTGTATCAAATGACTAAATAATTATTACATTAAACTCTGTCGAAGATATCATATATCTGACATTACAGTATTTCAAGTATAATTTTGAAATGGCATGACGGGCGATGCAAGCATAGCAGTCGGTCTAGGTTTTAAAAGAGTTTCACAGTTTCGTATGTTTCACTACGATTAGTATAGACTGACGTGATTTCAATCGCTGTTGCCAAATAATTGTGCGTTAAATGTTTCACTTGAAAGATATTTCAAGTTATTTTGTCTTATATTTTAAATAATTCTGCATAGTTGTAACGACATTTAAGTATTATAAATAAGAAGATGTGGCATGAGTGCCAATGAGACACTTCTTCATCCAGGTCACAATGTATAAAAAGTTAACAATTATAGGCCAAAGTACGGTCTTCAACACGGAGCCTTGGCTAACACCGAACAGCAAGCTATAAAGGGCCCCAAAATGACTAGTGTAAAACAATTCAAACAGAATAACCAACGGTCTAATCTATATAAGAAACGAGAAACTAGAAACACTTATGAACCACACCAACAAACGACAACCACTGAACAACAGTCTCCTGACTTAGGACAGGTACATAAAAATGCAGCAGGTTTATACGTTTTAACAGGCGCCAACCTTCACCCTTACCTGAGACAGTACTGATCATTACAACATAAAAAGACACACTATAAAATATCAATTGAAATGGCTTAACTCGATCAAAAAGACATTTAAACAAAAACAAGTAAACATACACTGAACGAATAAGTTTGATCTATGACACAATATAGATACAATATTAAAACGTAGGTGCCTATATAACATAGACGTTACAGTAATAAAACAACGTACACAGGTAAATTCAAATATAATAATTTGGAGGTTAGGAGTACAGAAGTAAACATTCCAGATAGCCAATAGTACAGATAGCCAACATAAAAAAGGCAACTATACTTTTTTTCTTGAATGGTCACTGCACTAATGTTTTTAAAATTGTAAGACTTCACTGAAAATCACATCACAGATAATAAATGTTGTACAAATTGTCGAAAAATACCATGGGGATATTTAGAATTCTCTTTTTGAAGAAAAAAACTGACAATGTCATGGCAACACTATAATTTCCTAACTGATATCATGATTATAATTCACACATTTGCTATATTTATCATACCTTAAACCCTGGGTTACCTCCCGTTGACGTGATATATTTTGTATATTTCGTGACATCCTCGGCTGTTTCATCACTGTCTAGAAATTGAAACGGATTCTGAAAAGCAGACTGTGTAAACTTGACAGAACTGTGATCTGAAAGTTCAAATTAAATGATAATCGAAGTATTCTATGGAATTATTGAAATTTTAAATAACAATTGCAGACTAAATGGCATTTTGCAGAAACGTATAATAAATAATGTTACATTGTATTAAAGAGCTTGATGTAGTGCGGAAAAGCGCTGCCGATGCGCGAGATTTATAGAGTCTTTATTGCATTTAATAGCACCAGGTTGATATCACTGCTGGTGGATTGTTAGTCCAATCAGCAGTGTATTATCAGCTCAGTAGTCGATACTTCGATACTGACATGACTTATAACTTACTTTCCTAAAATCCCTGTTAAATAAATAAGAATTTATTAAGAAACTACGGTTCCAACTCCCTCATGTTAATTTGACGTAAGATGCATTTGGCTATTTTTTTTCTACCTCTTTTAGTCACATGGTTCAAAACATTTCTGCATATTTATACATCCATGCTGACTTTAAATGCTTTGGTTTGACCGTTCCATGTGAAGGTACATTTAGGACCAGATCAGGGAATATTAAAGACCTTTTATGTCGGATTTTTAACATTGTTCATAACGCAAAACATACACGTATGTACTATTAATACATGTCACATTATTAATTGTATAAATAAAAAATTGCCAACGGCAACAGAAACATCTTACTTTTTCTTGTAAAGTTTCGATTGCTGTAAAGCAACATTCTAGCAGTATCAGCACATTTGAGTATTAACTATACCCCGAGATCAATATACTGTAAAATTTGTTAATCATTTTCTTGAGAGAATATAATTGTATGACAACCAGCATTAAATATGCATTGGAATAAACAACTGACTTCATAAATATAAATATCAACAGTCCTTTTCAGATTCGAATGTCGCTTTGACTTTACATGTTACCTACCTAATGTTGCTCGTCTTCTGTAGAATTTACAATTTTCAAAATTATCCTTTAAAAGACTGCGATCATGGAACATAAACATATTTTCTAAATCTGCACTGCTGGGTTGAAACCGTGATTCGTCGATTTCGGAGTACGATTCGTCCACAAGAACAATACACAAAGAAAAGTTACTCCGAGGTACCTGTAAAAACATTAAAAACATTTCTCACTGTTTTATATAATCTTTTTTTATATGACAACATAAACGCATGATATACTTTTTAGTGGTCATGTATGGGATTTGTTCATTGTTGAAGGCCGTACGGTGACCTATAGTTGTTAATTTCTGTGTCATTTGGTCTCTTGTGGAGAGTTGTCTCATTGGCAATCATACCACATCTTCTTATATTTATATATACGACACGTTTTTTGGAAAAAAAATTTCTTCATGATGGCTCAAGAACAAAAATGGGCTAGACAGAAGACGAAGAGGTGCAACATTAAAGAGCACTAAACTACAAGAGGCTCAAACTGATCAAGGCTTTGCTTTAAGGTGGTAACTTAAGTGTAAGTAAAATTAAATATGATTAAAAAGATAACTGTTCAATAAAATATTAATTTGAATCATCCAACATTGAATTACATTTTCCAAGTTAATTTTTTTTTAAATCTGAAAATAAATGTGAGGTACACGTAAGTTAGTCAGAAAATAAACGACACCATCAAAACCAAAAGAAATCTTGAGGTCATCACAGGTCTTCAACAATAGACAGGTGACAAAGCTCTAATTCGTCCGGAATTAAACGATATGACTTGAATCTCATTTAACAGGAAATACCAGTATATAAAAATAAGGTGATGTGGTATGGTTGCCAATGAGACAACTATCAACCAGAGACCAAATGACGTAGATTTCAGCGTACGGCCTTCAACAATGAGCAAAATCCATACGGAATAGCAAGCTATAAATGGTCGTCCCGAAATGACAAAATGTAAAACAATTCAAACGAGAAAACCAACGACCTGTTTTATTTAGAAAAGAACAATCGAAAAGCAACTATGATATACAGCAACAATCGACAACCACTGAGATTACAGGCATGTGCTGAATTGACAGGGTTAAACATGTTTTCGGGGGTCCAACCATTCCCTAAGCTTTGACAGTAATGTAACAGGACAACAAAAAATCAAATTATAAAAATCAGTTGAAAAGGTCTTGACTCAGCAGATCGATACAAAGCACAAATACACGTAAGACAAAAAATACCGACCTGAGAGTGCTCGCAGTTTAGGAAGAGCCTGTAATTTAGTGGTTGTCCCAAGTCGCTGTCTATCATACTTGTTTTTCGTTTATTGTTTTGTGATTAAATAAGGCCGTTGTTTTTTGTTCTATTGAATTGCTTTTCATTGTCATTAAGGAGCCTTTTATAGCTTACTATACGGTATGAGATTTGTTCATTGTTCAAAATCGTTGCTCACATCTACATCTTTCTTTCATCTTTTAACAGTAATTGATAACTTAAATGTAAACATCGTATAGATCTACTGTTTAGAACGAAATTCACGACAAAAGTCAATTACGTGTATTGTTTCTTTTTTGCATATTTAATGTTTTCGCTTAAATATCTAAGTCATATCCGTTTATCTATAGACAAATAATGTAGTATGTTTTTTTTCAGTTTTTTGTAATATCTTAGCTTTTTTCATTAATATATCTGCACTTACTGGACCCCAAATAAAATTTGCCCTCAGATTAACATCTTTGGTGCCGTCATTAACTAGCTTTCCACGCGGCTTTGTGAAGACCTTATTAAAGACTTTATTTCCAGTATAACCGCTGTAATATAGAAAAGAATAGATACAAATAATTTGTATTCACATTAAAATAAGATACACCTCGTTTTTACAGGTTTTTCGTTTAAGATTTTGAAAGAACAAAATAACACAATCAACATGTCGCAAAACACACCTGACAAAAATATTGTTTAAGTTTACCCCTTGGCATCCTCTTACTTTTTCACTCCCAGTGGATAAATACTTTTACCTAATCTTTTTTATTCAGTAGCATGTGCATGTATTTAAAAGTGCAGATTTCTAAACGTATAAACCTTTAAAATGATTGATCTAGACTCAAAAGTAATTATATTTTAATTCTTAAAGGTGACAATACTCAGAATCGTATTCAGACAATATTGGTCACGTACAAGAATGTAAATTTGGCGGTATATTAATATTTGTAAAACGAAATGTAGGCTAAACAAACGCGGCAAAAAATCAGAAATCAATAATATTATCATAGCATTTTCCAATTTGTGTCTTTTATTCGTATGAGGTAGAATTAAAAATAGGGCTTCTAAAAACGAATAAAAGAAGCATACATTGTTCTTAAATTTCACATTTCACTTTAAAGATGATGTCCTTTCACTGAATTACGTAAACGTAGATAAATATATTGATTGCATCTATCTATTCAACTAGTAAGAACGGACACAACAGTCACAGTAAGGCTGATATAGTCTGATTTTGTTAGGTTAGATGGTCTTCCCCGTTTTTTTTTCATTCACTCAAGAGGAGATTTTAGAAAAAATACAATGTCCTTCTCTCATTTGGTATCAACACGAACAAAGACGTTGATCATCTCACGACTTATACCTCGAATTTGACACATGCTGTCATCTCCGTACCAGAATCTATGACAAACGAGAAGATTCTTTGTTTCTCTATAGACACTCTATATAGACAAAGCACATAAGCAAAAATGAAAGAAAAGAATACAAAAAATGACCATAGCATAGTAAAACAATGATGAGATGTATAAATACCGAGCCACGCCAAAAGTATATACCAAAAATTGACTAATCAGTAAAGGTTAAAAATATACAAAGACAAATAAAATTAACACGTTATTAAGACGATAAACAACGTCAGTACCTATAATCTATACTTCAAGACTATCGTGTATTATTTGTGAAGTGTAACGGAATGTTTATCGACAAGGTCTATGTATCTTCCGATAAACTTTTTTTTAGTAAAAGGACGAGTCGTTCTTTGACATAACCCTGGTTCAATAACTTTCTGCTCAGACACTGGTGACGTTTTATAAAGCCTGAGTAGCAGCTGACAGCTCTGGAATACCGAATGAGTTGGGAAATGTATATCCCATATGCAGGGGAGTTGGCATGTTGTTGCTAAGGTGGGGGAAATTTATAATTTCAAAATTAAAATCATATCGTTTGTCATAGCTTCTGGTACTGAGATGACCTCTTATGTCAAATTCGATATATAAGTCTAGAAATGAGGCGGAGGAAGCCGTGTCTGTTGTTCCTTAAATTTCTAGTTCTGGAGGATATATAAATGGAACCCAATTAGAAAAGTTTGGATTGTTAATGGAAAGAACATCATCAATATATCTTCTTGTTTTTGACAAGTGTCTGAGGAACTCAGACTCATATGAAAATAATAAGTGGTCGGCGAGGAGAGACGCGCAGTTCGTTTCCATAGAAATGCCGTCAATTTGTTTTAAAACTTTACCTCCAAATTCAACAACTATGTTGTCAAGAAGAAACCCCAGCATACTAATAACTTGTTACTCGGTGTATCATATTTTACCCTTTTGTTTACTGTTAACAAATTATGCCGCATGGTATCCCAAAGCAATAAATTTATAGCGGATGCTACCATTTTTATATATAAAGCATTGTGGATTATTTCTTAAAGACAATACTTTTTCAATTTCACACGAGGAATGGTGATATAAAGGTTTTGATAGAACTTATTTCAGAGAAAGATCGAGATTTAAAATTATCTTAAAACTTCTTTAGAGATTTTGTAGAATCCACATACAATGACAATTATATTTTGAGTTCTTTAAGAGATTTTTTAGAATCCACATACAATAACAATTAATTTTTGCAAAGGAGATGAGTGTTATGGTTAATACCACTACGTGAGTAAACAGTTTCACAGTATTTCTGAAGACCTTCTTTCACTGCGGACATAATTTATGTCAATCTAATGGACAATTCCTTTGTAGAACATGCAGATGAGCCGGCAATGTACCATTGTTTGTACGGAATTTTTTGAAGCTTAAATATCCAATACAAACAAGGTAAATCCTCAGATTTGCTTTTGATGTAATGTTCATTGAAGCCATGTTCCTCCTCCCATTCTCCCTACAGTAAAATGTTGCCTTCAGAAATATTGTGATGAGATATATTAAATCAGAGTGTCAATCAGATGTTGATTCTTTATTCTTCTGAAGATCATCTCCAAAATCTTCAATCACAATCTTCACAATTTTGCATTAATGTCAAAACATTTGATATATCGACGATCTACAACAACAACACCATGATCATTTGAAAGATTGACTCCACCTTATTATTAAAGATTGCATTTTCTACAATAAATTCGATTTGCAGATTCGAATTCCGTGTTTTAAGTTTTAAAAATATTTTATTAAGAAAGACATTGATTCCTCCAAAATATCCACGAAGATGTTATTTTGAAAATACTAATCTTTCTTTTACTTACAACATATTTAGTATACAAATTCTAAAGGAGAAGGAATCAAAACTTTCGCAAAGATTTTATTTAAATGATTTTTTTTTTACATATATGTTTAGATCTGATTTTTATATTTATATATTTTAATTTCAGAAATCCTTCTGTCCCGTTGTACAAATATGTAAGCACACGACAATTTGTTTAATACAAGACAACACCTTTCTTATTCATAAAGACCAAGAACAAAGTTGTAAATAAACTACGATACCAGATCAAGTATCGCGATCCCAACCGCAAGTAACTTCAAATATTGCCACTGCCTTGTGGTTTTCGGAAATGTTTCTCTAGTATACAAGCTTCAAGGGTACATTTGGAACAAGCGTGACGATTGAATTGATCTCAGAGTTTGCTATTTAGAATTAATTACTCACAGTACTGCTTGAATCTTTTTAATTTAGGCAGACTAAGAGTAAACTGCGTACAAAGACCAAAATACATATTGGTTGCATACAGAGACCAAAATACAGAATGGTTGCATACAAAGACCAAAATACAGAGTGGTTGCATATAATAACAGATAGTTTATACCTTTTCATTGATTCAATGACGGACTCTGCTTCTGGTGCACGTTCCAGAACACCAATATCAACTAATACAGGATCCTCACTAGACTTGACAAAGGCGGCATTGGGTAACAATGGATGCATCAAGACTCTCCCAGTTCCATCAATTATAAATCCGTAGGAATATTCTTCTTCTGAGAAGTACTCTATTTTAGAGAGTAGTTTGCTTATTTTCACATCTGTGCACATAACTCCATGAAACCCTGTTGCTACTTTAACAGTGCGACAGAGAGATGTAATCAATCCTGCAATTATTATAAAATCAAAATAGAACAAAATATGATATTATTTGAACATGTTTTAATTATGCAACATTTAAACTATTTGGAAATTTGTTTTTAAAACACTATGAATATATTCATTTTCACGATTCCATCAGAGCTTAACAATTATATTTTGCAAAGGAGATGAGTGTCAAAATAACTTTAAAGCCCGAAGAAATCAAAAATTAAAAATAAATTTTACTATTACATAACACCCTTCAGATGTCTTCTAGGTATTAGTCTGCCACGTATCAGTCATATTTTTGTCTTCCTTATTTGACTAAGCCATCAATATTTCGCATTAAATGAAAAAAATAGCCATCATTTTTAAATTTAGTTATCATGGTTTTTGCTATCAAGTTAAATGCCACAGCCTTACCAAAAAAGGTTTTGTGCTACATGTAAGACGTCTTATATGAATATGAATGGGAGTAATAACATAAACGGTGCCAATTTTATTATACCATATGATGCGCATTTCAACAATAAATGTCTCTTTAGTGATTTTTTTTTGCAATTTTTGGGGGGTAAAAAATGCCTTTATCATGCCGTTTCCTTTATACTAATAAATATTTATCTACTTCTTCTTTATTTTGAATCAATAAAGCCTACACTTTTAAAAGTTACTGTCAATTATTGACCAACTGTCCTGGCAAAATACATACTGTCATTACCCTTATTTTTTTCAATTAGTCACTTATAAAAGAGCATGATAAAGTTCATTAAGAATATAATTTTTAAAACTTAATACTCGCTCGTACCGATTCCAGAAAATGGGTCAACGTATGGTGATGTAAAGGTTGACTGGTCGGATTGACCATCGGTAGACAGATGTTCATAAAATGTGGCCAATTTGACAGAAAGTAACTTCTGTTTGGATAGGGCAAAGTGTTCGAAATGTCCAATCTGAAATAATAATTAATTGAATGTACACGTAATATAAACTTGATTGAATAATAGTTCATTACATGTGTTTGAGATTAACTTACATACAGAATGAAGGTTTCAGAAAACAAACACATGCAGGATGCAGAAACTACAAAATGGTAAGATAAGAAATTGCAACCTAATGTACAAATAAGGGAGAGCGGTAATATTGCCAATTAATTTATTAATATTGTATTTATATTGTGTCATAGATCAAATTTATTCGTTCAGTGTATGTTTACTTGTTTTTGTTAATATGTCTTTTTGATTGAGTTAAGCCATTTCAATTGATATTTTATAGTGTGTCTTTCTATGTTGTAATTTTACACTACTGTTTCAGGTTAGGATGAAGGTTGGCGCCTGTTGAAACGTTTAAACCCGCTGCATTTGTTGCATCTGTCCTAAGTCAGGAACTTGTTGTTCGGTGGTTGTCGTTTGTTGATGTGGTTCATATTTAATTCTCGTTTCTCGTTTTTTAAATAGATTAGACCGTTTGTTGTCCTGTTTGAATTGTTTTACACTAGTCATTTTGGGGCCCTTTATAGCTTGCTGTTTGGTTTGAGCCAAGGCTCCGCGTTGAAGGCCGTACTTTGACCTATAATTGTTAACTTTTAACACATTGTGACTTGGATGGAGTGTTGTTTCATTGGCACTCATACCACATCTTCTTATTTCTACTTGGTACGAGGTCGGCAATAAAAGGCCCGACATTACAAAATAACGATAACGAAAAAAAAACCAAAAAAAAAAACGGTCAGGTTTATGACAAAGCAGTAAACGATAAAAATATAACAGACAAAAGCAAATAAAAACAACAGAATTATAGGCTTTTAACATGGCACATAAATAAAGTGGAGTTTTAAACATGCTTGCGAGCCTTCAACTCCCTTAACCTGGAACAGTTATTTTCTAGCACAACATAACATCAAACTGTAAAATCAGTTGGAAATTGGTTAACTCATCACATTGGTACGAAGCACAAAACATCTAACATAAAGACGAAAGCCTTCTTTAACCCCTGGATAGATGGTTTATTTTGTAAACAGGGACCCTAAGCCTGTTACCTGGACGACTTAAATTATTTTCAGGAAATATCTAGGAATAAAACAGTTACTAAATGCTAGTCCGCAACCCTTCGCAAATTTTACGGACGCCATCACGAATTAGTTGACCATTATAGAAAATCTGTTTCACAGATGACGACGGATATGTTTCAATTGACGTAACTACGATCCCGTCCTCTTTTTCTGGAATGTGACCTACCGAATAAGACTTATCATCGGAATTGTACTGACATGAGCAGCACGACGTGTTACATGTGGAGGAGGATCTGCTTACCTTTCCGGAGCACTTGAGATCAACCTCGGTTTTTGTTGGGGTTCATGTTGCTCAGTCTTTAGTTTTCTTTGTTGTGTTTTGTGTACTGTTTGTCTTTTCGTCCTTTTTCGTTCTTTGCCATGGCATTGTCATTTTTTTTTTGAGTTATGAGATGGGATATCGCTTTGGTATCAATTGCCTCTCTTTTTCAAAACCAATTACAACTTATTGATACACCTTGTTCTCCTAAACTATATCAATAAGTTCACATTCAAAGGATTGAGTAAAGACATCATTAAAAGTCTGATAAAGCATACAAAAGCTAACAGTTTAGTACATTTTACAGACAGGTTATAAGAAAATCACTTTTTATTTCTGTATAACAATACATATTTAGTAAAGTTTCAGTTGTTGAGAAAACAAACTCAATGTAAATATCGATGAAAACAATTTTCAAAGATCTTACTGGAGTGTTAGATTGATTACCTTTAAAATTTAGTTATTCAAAAGATCATTGGGTTTACATGAATTATATCTAAATTGACAAAATTTTTAAAAAAAGATCACAGTAAAAATTAAGATTTTGAATTCTGTTTGTAATGAAAATGCGAAAAAAGGTACGCCTTTTTAAAAACCAAATTTTAGTATTGACGAAACAAATAATAAAAGGTATAGTAATGTGTGTTAACGTAATCCTTGGCATGATTTTCACCATCCCAGTAGTCAGCACTTCTGTCTTGACATAAATTGTCAATGGTATGCTCATAGTTATGAATGAACCTTTTTTCAAAACTTCGAATTTTTCGAAATACTAAGGATTTTCTTCCCCAGGAATAAATTACCTTCGCGGTATTTGTCAAAACCCTTCGAAATTTTAGGTCCTCAATGCTCTTCAACTTTGTACTTAATTTGGCCTTATTAACTTTTGTGATTCTAACGTCACTGATAATTCTTTTGTAGACGAAACACGTCTGGCATACATTTTATTTATCCTGGTATCCTCTGCGTCGATGCGACTACTGGTTGAGGTTTCCTCTCCGAGCCCAGTAGTCAGCACTTCTGTGCTAACATTAATTATCATTGATAGGGTCATAATTATAAAACTTTGAATTTTTCGAAAGGATTTTTGCATACCTTCTTTATAGTCTTATTAACATTTTCGGTTTGATCGTCACTGATGAGTCTTTTGTAGACGAAACGCGTTTGGCGTACACAATTTTTATCCTGGTATCTATGATGAGTGTATTTACCAGTTATACATATATTACGTTTAGTGGAATAAAAACTTCACTACAAATACGGTCGTAGCGAATGAGTTGGTCAATAAAAACACCGTAAGAAATGGCCAACGAATATCGCCGTCCAAAAATGACGATTAACGATAGAGAACGAAAACCGTCACTTTTGTCGTACAGTTTTGTGTGAAAAGAAAATATCAAAATCAAGATAAGAATAATGAACGTGATGATTTTTTGATTAATTTAAGGTCAGTTCCCTTGGATAAATTTGGCAGTATATTTAGAGAGTTTTTGGGTCGAAAAGGTCTAAGTAACAATAGGCGTTATCAAAGTTATCCATTAGATGACATATAGACTGAATATGCACATTAACTGTGATTCATAACAATACAGGAATAATTTTACAGTTCACCATTAGATCTACCGACTTTGTGGTATAATAGTAACCAATGCTACAAATTGCATCGATCATGTGTTTTCTTAAATAAGCCCAATAAGGTAACATCGAAAGATTTTCAACGAACTAGTGTGCAAGATTTTTTTCTTTTTACGAATGCTGAAAATTATAAATGAAATGTTACCACAAATTTTTGACATTTAGTTATTTTGATGTGAATATTGGATTTTTGAGTTATAAAGATGATGTTCTCTTACTAAATAATTAAATAATCTGACATCGTGTTGCTTTGTCTTTAGTTTTTTATGTTGTGTGTTGGTATGCTGTTGTTAGTTTTGTGTTTTTTTCTTTGTTGTCAGTTTATTTTCGACTAATGAGTTTGAATATGCCTTTGGTATCTTTCGCCTTTCTTCTATAGCAATGTTAAAAATATGCAAACTGGTGTGGAGATAACTTCTTCTTGTATTTCATAATGCTTCATGGTGTGTAAAAGTTCGGATTGTTTGAAAAATTTAGCGACGATCGAATTTAAACTTTGTTGAATCGTGCAGTTATTTATGCGCCAAAGAACTTGACAACCTGATAGTCATTATCATACACAGATAAAAAGAATGGCATTTGCATTCATCTTATTATAATGGTATAGCATTCTAAGGTAAATGAAAACGTGCCCATAAGATATTTTAGAAATATCTCATTTTCAGGATGAAACTGAAAGTTTTCCTTTAACATTATGACAACATTATAACAACATTATAAAACGTTACTTTTGGCATCTCAACTGTTTTGTACTGTACACACTTAAGGTGATATATCCTACGTAACATAGATGACTCCTAATCATGTGTGGAAATCGCTTGTGCGTTTAAGCCAGTAAGGGTGCCACATGTGGAGCAGAGTCTACTTACCTATCCGAAGCACATGAGATCAACCCCGTTTTTGGTTGGGTTTGTGTTGCTCATTTTTTGGGTTTCTATGTTGTGTTTTGTGTACTGTTGGTCTTTATCTTTTTTAACGAAGGCTTTGTCTGTTTATTTTCGACTTATGAATTTGAATGTCCCTGAAGTATCTTTCGTCTCTCTTAATTGGGTTGATTGAAAACAAATATTTGATCTAATTCTAAATCTATCAAACATTTTATGAAAGTTGAAGTATTTTTTTATAAAAGATTCTGAATAAAATCTACAACAGTTAGCACAATGAAAGTGTACTGCTACAGTACTAAGTGTACAGTTTCACATAACTATGTGTCTTGGAAATCAAAATATACAGAACTAAATGTTTATGGATATTTTGTGATCTGCATAACCGTTCAATTACAATTTTACGCTGGCAGTTTACTCACATGGCATAAAAATACTAAAAAAGCAAAAAATTGTCTTTTTTATTTTCAGTCTCTTTTGGTCATATGGTTCCTGACGTACATAAGTATTTATCATCCTGCTTTATCTCATTTTGAAGTTCATGCAATTCCCTCAGTTTTTGTTTGTTATCTTGATTTGCCTATTCCTAATAGATTTACGAGATTTGAACATCGGTAAACTACTGTCGCCTTGACTAAAAATTGTTGGGTTTAAGAAGGTTCCTGATGAAGGTAAATCCAGAAAAGCGCTTCAGACCCGTACAATTTATTAAGTGTAAGTTTCATTTAGCCTAGGAGACATTGAATTTGGAATCAATCATTGCAGATGTAGGGAAACCAACTTATTTGTTGTCAGTTGGTCAATTCGTTTAAAAGTGTAAATCCGTACTGGGATTTCCTCAGTTTTTATTTGTTAACTTCCTTGAGTTTTCTTTTTTAATCGATTTATGATATTTGAACATCGGTAAAATAGTGCCTTAATTTAACGAACATTCTTGATTTTTACCCTTACAAAAACATGACTGCGTAATAAGTATACATTTTAAGATAAAAAAAAATTGTGCAAAGGGTTACTTGTGACAAGTCTGTAGAAAAAATTTAATTATTTGTTTTTAATTTTTAAAAACAAATATTTTTGTTGATACGTCATCTTAGTCAATATATCAAAGATTCCATTGAAGATAGTTTTTTATGAGCATTTAAATAGGAGACAATGGTATTAAACTGTAAATCGGTTTTGAATATACAAAACGAGAAGAACACTGTAGGAAATAGCAAAGCTGAAACGTGGCGTGACCCGAAGCGTCGGCAACGTAATCTGCTGCTGATTTTGAAAGTATTAGTTGCAAAACCAGAAAAACACCCAGACTCAGTCATAAATGCCATAATGAGAAATAAGTCGCCACTGGTAAATTTACAGTTTAGAGGACTATTCTGGTGTCGAAAGACCAACAGATCAATATGTGCAAAACATAAATGATTGTACATCCTTTGGAACTATTGCTATCCCAAAAATTCATATTCAGTATGATATGAACACAAGAATATTCAAGGGTTGCACAGAAAATTTCTCAAACAACGGAGAAGGGTCAATAATGAAAAATCTTTCCTAATATGATATGTAAAGAATAAGAATTATAAAACTTCAATAGGTCTAAAACAGAATTTGGGTTAAAGAAAACAGCTTCAATACACAACACTGGTAACGTGAAGTAAAACATCAGACAATTTCATTATTGAATGTGCATACTTTCAATACGTGTGTCATCTGTGTCAACATCCCTTATGCGCCTCAAATTGAGGAACACAAAAGTAAAGCGTAAACAAAAAAAAATATGTATAGTGATATTGTTTCATTTTTTTACAAGTCACTGAGCTTAACCATTTGTGCTGATCTAGAGAGCAGAGGACCATTGAATAAAGATGTACAAACTATGGAGTTATTAAATGTATGCAACGAACTAAATTTTCAAAGAACTTATTGTAAGAAAAAGGCCTTTCGGGATGTGCTAAATTATTGAAAAACCAATCTCACTTCGTACCCCGAAAATTTAACCACATATGTGAAAATGTAGCAGCTTTGAAACGAGCCATCATACACATCCAAGTATACGATGTGGGCAGAGGAATTGAGAAAAAGGCTACCATTACCGTCTACCTGAAATGAATTGCGCATCTGTACTCATCTGTTTGTGGTGATAGAGGTATCTAGATTCAAACGAAAGGCAGAAGAAACCCAAAAGATATCCAAACATATAAGTTCATTACAAACGGACAACTCCACGATGAGGGTTTCGATTGCACAACATTGGTAAATGAGGATAACACTGTATAAACATGGTGCTAACGAACCGGTTTCTCAAGAATTACCTTCATTTGGTACCGTCTTTTGAAATTTTTAGAAACATTATACTAAGTTTCCAAGTTTTGAACTCAAGGAAACATATCTCAATCAAAGCATAATAGCCGGAAAACAATTGAAATATATATGTATGCTATCTTTGATTCTATGAAAAATGAAAAGATTTGGCATAATCATAGTGAGAAGAGTTGAGTACACAACAGTGGTATCCCAGAGTCTCCGAAAAAAACCCAATACTATTAGCCGGTTCTGTACTTTGTGCAATCAATCCAAACATGCCATGGTGATTTTGATATACATTTAGCAGAACATGTATGGATACATTTCCATCATATGGTGTAAAAATAAAAAAAATTAATCGAGAGGAATTTTTTTACCAACGTTTAGCCCCTTGAGAATATATGTAGCAAGTACTGAAGATGAAGTTTTCCTAACGAGATCACATATTCATCGGAAAGCAATATTCAATGTTCGAACAATAGTTTGAAGGAAGCTCAATCTATTTATTATAACATATTCGTTTCAGATTTTATTGGCTTGAATTGATGCCTCATTTGTGTATATCTCTCATATTCCTTTATCTATTTCAAATGTGAATTTGAACATACTTGCTTAGATCCATAGGACGGATCATGTAAGGTCTGACTTGACATGTTTTGTAGCTGAATTTTCGCTTGTTCCTCTGAAAGAAAAATATTCGAATATGTATAGCTATTTGGTCTACATTATAGTCATGCAATAAATAATCATTATCGTACTATTTTATTTGTTATAATGAGTCTTGGTCATTTCGTTTTAATGCCTACAGAAAATTATATTCTTGAAAACTGTTCATCGTATTAATTTTATCCTACTATAACATGACCGCTGTTAATCAGATCTTACTATCGTCATGTTTTAGATTAAAACACTTAAGATTTGTGGTAATTTTGGAATCGTGTGACGTATGAGGCAGATAAAGCAAGAGTATTTACGGAACATCAGCAGCTCTCTTTCTTTATAACACAATAGATTCGGATGATCTCTGGTGGGAAGCATTGTCCCTTTGGTTGTCATGAGAACTTGAAGTTTTCTCTTTTATTTTTGTATTAGGAAATAACATACCAATTGAATGAACCACGTGATTATTGTTTGCCGGTCAATATAATGAAACATGTGTAATGTAATAACATTTGAATATTTAAATAAGGAGATACATTTTTTTCTAAAACTAACACATACATTGCATACTGAACCGAATCGATACTGTCTATATGTAATGGTATGGATGTACATTATCTTTGCCAGCAATATTTTGTTATTACTGCATTCACAGCAGAATATTTTAATTGTGGAGATTTGAAATAGCAAAATTGCATTTCGTTTCAAATGCTGTGATATAACACCCGTGTCTTAGGTTAGAAGAGGGTTGGGTGCCAGCAAACATGTTTAACCCTGTCACATTCGGTATGAGCCTATCCCAAGTCGGGAACTTGTAATTCAGTGGTTGTAGTTTGTTGATGTTTATCATATTTGTTTTTCGTTTATTGTTTTGTACATAAACCAGGGCCTTAGCTTTCTCGTTTGAACAGTTTTTCATTTCTAATTTCGAGGCCTGTAATAGCTTGATATGTGCTATGGGTTTTGCTCATTGTTGAAGGCCGGTGACTTTTACGTCAATTTGGTCTGCGTGTGAGAGTTGACAACTTGTCTCATAAAAAATCATATTACATCTTCTTATTTTTACACATTCAGCTATGTAAGAAGAAAAAAAGTATAACCACAACACCGAACTCCACGGCAAATTAAAAAAGGGGAAGTCCATAAAAACGGTATCAATCAACGGAACAAGTGAAAAACTGCTGCATTATTCCTGATTTTTTACAAGCATTATTCGCAGTTTTATAGCTAGCTAAACCTCCCACTTGCAAGTAGATAACGGGTTAATAGTTTAGTACGCTAAAACACGCGTTCCCTCTACAAAAGACACAACAGTTAAACGGTCAAATATATATCGAAGTTAATCATTTTTTTAAATTTATGAACCGAACATTTATAAAAAATTACCGCATCAATGATATTTTTATATCTTCATCATATGTAAGGAATACTATACACTAATAAATAAAACTACCCTCTCCAATCAGGTAAGTGAATATTGCAATTCTATTTTGAAGTTTTGAATTTTCAGTGCTGATAACTTGTACAGGATCACTGCCAGATGTCGATTTGCCATCGCTGATGAAAAGAATTACCTGATCTAAAACAAATTTATGACTTATTATACTAGACTTTATTGACTTGCACATAGTTTCAAATGTTCATATTTTTTTTTCACTTACTAGTACTTTTATACTAACGTGTGAGTTCTAGTGAAAACAATAATTAATCTATTAATGGGCTAATAGACCTAACCGGACCATTTATTTCACAATTATATATACTTTAATTCAAATGCACTACAATAAATAATCATTATTGTACAGGATAAGTTGGTTACTTATTGTTGTGGACCCGGGGAAATTGTTACTGTGAAGTATATATCAAATCTTATTCATCGTCCTTATTTCATATGTACACTTCCAATCTGACATTAGTACCGGTTTGGAAATATGTTTTTCACAAACACTTTCTACTTGGTGTAACTTTAAAATCATGGCACACTGGTGATTCAAGCATAGTAGCAGGAGTTGATTACCATAATGCGGCACTTCTTTTAGAGTTCCTTACATTGTATTCAGTAGATTTACAATAAGGTGTTTGGATAGGTATCATACATACAGGACCTTCCAAAATACAAAAAGAAAAAAAATCTTGCAAATATCTTAAATTTCACTTTCAGATAGGTTGGTGATGTCCTGTCACTCAATAACCAAAATTTCTATTGAGTGCTAACATTTGATATATCGCAGTGCACTTGGATACTACCAAAACTAAAAGGTCTGATTCATTCCTTGATCTTTTTCTTTCTATTGACAAGGGGCCTCGGTGGCCGAGTGGTCTAAGTAGTTACTACTGTAATCACTAGCCAGTCAACACTGAGGTTGTGAGTTCGAACCCCGCTCGTGCGGGTGCACTCGACTCCAATCTTAATTGACTAGGATTGTCAGTTTTCCTATCGAAAGTCGGTGGTTTTCTCCGGGCACTCCGGCTTCCTCCACCAATAAAAACTGGCCGCCACGAAATAGCCCAAAAGCGGTGCTTAAAAGTGGCGTTAAAACACCAAAAATCAAATCAAATCTATTGACAAAGATCCGATACGAATCCAAACAAGATTGTTTGACTTAAAATTTCCATTTCTAAGCAGTAAAATACCTTCTGTCCCATCACATGGCGTATAATCTCTATTAGAACGTTACGATCGTGGATTTTCACAATAAACGGACTATATTAAAAAGAGTGTTCTTCTGACACAAAAACTGCTCAAACAGAGCTTTTAGGAAGAATGCCTAAATTCGACACTTCATACATTTTACGATCACCATTACGAATTTGGTTAATCGAAAAACGCTGTCCGTTGTTAGCAGAAGATATATCGGCACATATCCTACTTTTTATTTGTAATTTAAATTATTAAAAATGATTTGATTGATTGAAAATTGCTTTTTCAAAATCATGCATATACAGGAAAAGAACAAATTAACAATGATTATGATATAACTTGGAAAAGGTGAAGAGCTTTTTGTGTCGTCAACTGTTTTTCTATTTGTCTACTGAAAATCCCGTGTTCTATTTACAGTTAGAATCAGGATTTTCTGATTGGGGTATCATTTCCCTCAAGTTCAGAGAGAAATAAATTTCATCAAGATAAGCAACAAACTTCTGAAGCATATAAGTCAGTCTTAAATTCTGTTATGTGTTGCAATAATTATACGGCACTTTTGATCAGTTTGATGATTTATACTTTTATGAATGTTGTCTATTTTGCTAAAGGTTACCTCTATTTTGAACTTTAAATGTGTCGACCGAGGAATTGTAAAATTCAAAAGCAGCAACTAGAGCCTTTTCAAAGTTAGAATCTGAACTTCCCGTGTTTATATGAAATATATAATCCTTCAGTTTGTCTGTATTTTCTTTTGTGGCAAATGACAGCTCTCTTTGATAACATGGGTGATAAGAATTTCCAGATGGAGAGGATTCATCTTGGTTAAATGTAACAACTCCAACCTAAAAGCATTTATATGCATTTACAATGTAATTAAATCTGATGAAACATACACATTTATAAATGTCGCATTCATTAATCTGTACAAAATACTGACGGTCACCGTGTAACTTTACAAGTTTAACTGTAGAATGACTTTTTTATTTCGACACTTTGATGATAAATTAGCATCCATTAGTTTGAGGAAAGGTATTATAAATTGGATGAGAAGGGAATCACCAATTATATGATCAATTTATCAAAATAATCACATATCTACTTGTGATAACCTTATTTTGCATTGCTGGTATGACAGGCTGACACGAGGATAGATTCCAGCTTCATGTGCAATTTCAGTGGGAGGGCCACACATTTATATCAATCCTCTTCCAATTTAGAGAGTCATGTTTCCCAGAACAACTTGATCTGAAACTGACACTGAAGTTTATTAAACTATATTCTGTTGTTTGTTTGACAATTTTCTCAAACAACGACTGCCATAAACTCCAGGAAGACCTAGACAAAATGACAAAACGAGAAAAAACATTTAAAATTGAAGTTTCATCCTAAAAAATGCAGCGTCCTCACAGTCACAAAAAAATAAAATCAAGTAGGATTACAAGCTTCACGGACATACTCTTGAGCATGAGGCGTCAACTAAATACCCGGACTGCACCATCGCAAATGATCTAGATTTGGGAGAACATATAAAAAATATCGTAGGTACAGCCAACCGAAGCATTGGTTTCTTATATCGAAACCTCCACATTAACTCAAAATCAACCAAAGAGCATACTTATAAAATATTAGTAAGACAACAAATGTAATACGTCTTTACCAGCAAAACTTTATAGATAAAATGGAAGAAGTATAAAAATGAGCTGCACCATTTGTAAACAGCAGGCATTGAAATAGATCAAGTATCAGCAATATGAAAAATGAACTAGAATGGCAAAGATTAGAAACAAGACCTTTTATTCATTTCGATTGATGATATTTACAATATTAATTGATCGAAGGAGCATTATGCCCATCTTATTTATTAGAACTCATCAAATTTCATTTAATATAAGCTAAAAGATAGACCAGAACTACAAAATGTATATAGATAACAATACACATCGAATCGAATCGTTATAAATAACATAAACGGTACCAATTACACAGTATCAGCATTTCGTGCATATTCCTACCTTGCTCCATCAAATTAACTATCGACATGACCAACGAAGACTGTCATTGACCATTTGACTCCGTTAAAATGATAAATATAACAGACCATGGTCGGTTACAACCCTGATTATCGATCTGTGTCCTGTGTGTTGGTACCTGTATTTTAAATGTCGAGGAAGAGAATACATTTTTACTTACTCTGTCATTAGGTTTTAGTGTTTGAATCACATTGTTTGCTGCTTCTTTAGCAATCACGATTTTTGTTTTGGTAGGGTCTCCGGAACCTTGTCTCATTGATAAACTTGTACCAATTACAACAACGACATCTTTATCCGTAGGAGAGGCTGTTGAAGCATATGGAGTCCTTAAGAAATAAACAAAATATAGACATTGGGGAATAAAACGTATTATAGGTCAGTATAAGACAATAAATAATAGTTTACTGAACTTTTTTTTTTTGTTCTTATACCCAGCATATTTTTCCATTCCTTAATTTTTGTCTTTCCTTCGAAAAGTGTCGACAAATGCACTTACGGCGGCTGGTACATATTCATATACTGCATCAGATTCTTTATGGTTTGGAGCGTTCATTTTGCATATGTCCTTCATATTTGACTTCCGTTTCATTGTTGAATTACTGTATAGGTTTGTTTTATCAATGTATTGTTATAGTGCCATTATGAATTATAGGTTCTTTGGGTCAAGTATTTTTTGCTTATAGAATTATTGTAAGGGGTAGCAGTCATTATGACGGGGTTGATCTGACATTATCTTCATTTTGGTTGTTCATTTATCAAGTTTAGCTTCATTATTACATAGTTTCTCCATTATTAGACTCAATGGCCGAACTATATTATGATGTGATATTTTTTTTCAGTTATCTTAACTTAAAGGTCAATTTATCAGTGAAAAGAATGACTGTAAGGTGTTCATGTCCGTCGTACATATCTAACTTGGTCATATATGTATTGTTTATAGCTCAACGTTACGTGTTCGTTATTATGTCATTTTGTCTGTTTACATTAATAGGTCAATTGTAGTTGGTGTGTAGAATTATTATTAATTGAACCCATCGACACAAAAGACATCTAGAGGTCAACAAACAATGTTGATTTTATTAACAAAAGTTTAAAACTAAACTAAACATGAAATGATACCTTGTTCGTTTTAAATAATCATGTTCCAAATCATTTTAATATTTTTACTTATTACGTCTGTTTGGGTTGCTCACCCAATATTGTCAATATAACGGAACTATAAACAACTGTCATACAAGAGGGACGTTTAGCTAGCTATAAAACCAGGTTGAACCCACCATTTTCTTCGGGAAATACCTGTACCATGTCAGGAATATGACTGTTGTTTTCTATTTGTTTAAATGGTTGATATAGTCGAGCGCTTGATTTTGTCAGATTTTATGGTAATATCTGTAGAAAGATCTTGCTCTCAAAGATATCCAAGATAAAAATGAGTAATTATCAATTAAGCAAGGGAGACATGTCCACTCTTGTTTCGTGATTTTTTAAATCAAAGTGGGGAGCACTTTTTAAAGGCGGCACAATTATCAACTTCAATTCACCAACAAATTCAATGAAAAAGTATTGCACACGCGTCGACAAAAAAGATCTTTAACCACTATATATTTGTTTTAATAAATAACATATCTGACTTGAGTTTAAGTTAAGAATATTTAGTTTGTCGATCTATGTTTCTTTGGCTTACATTTGGTTGAAATCCAGGAGGTTCCTCAAATTTCAGAAGCAAGTTTAGCAAGTCTGGGGAGTAAAATCAACATTTTACTAGAAAAGTTCAACACAAATTGTTCTATTGCACTCTATCTCGTTTCGATTCGTCAAGTTGAAATACTTTTCGTCTTGAAATTATAGACTTGATATTTTGGACCAAAATATAGCCCTTATTTCTCATACTCTCTAAAATACTTAAA